TCTCCTGTCTCAGTCTCCTGAGAACCTGGCCTTCCATGCAGTACCACCAGGTCCAGAGTTTAAATGAAGTCATCAAAAGTGTATTGTGTCTCAGTTTGCTTTTTAAGGCAAACAAATGTTTATTATAGCAATTTGTCCTCTGGATCCTCTACATAATTTTCAGTTAAAAAACAAAACACTGACCATCCATGAGATAAGAGTGTAGCTTTGCTGATATGAATACATTTCTATCACCACCTCCCTGTTCTTAATCCCTTCTCGTGGGAGCCCTTAGACAATGCTGTAGAACTCATGAAAAGCCTGAGCACCCATGCTCTACTAAACCTCTCTTGGGGGAATTCCATGCCACAAGATTACACGAGCCTTTCTTTCCTCCAAGGGGGTTGGTTGGGTTGCTGGGCAGCCAAGGTTGTCCTCATCTATAGACAGGACAAGATGGTAGCTTCTAACTTTAAGACCTTGGTGTCTGATTCAGACATTGTTTTTTTGACAGAAAATAATTCTGGAATTTCTTTTTTCTCATGTGACTTTGTTCTAATGGGCTCAGCCTGGTAAAGTGAGCACTGCATGCTGACTCTCATGTTTTCACCAGGCTTTGTTCCAAGAGCCTTTTGCTTTATTTCATTCTAACACCATTATGGCACTTCACCTCTAACTGACCCGTGACTTTAGAAATGGATTGTTTTGTTGCCACTGTCGTGGACAGGACAGGTCTTGCTGTGAGGAGCTGTCCGAAGTGCTTATCAATATCCTCAGCTTCCACCTGCCATACAACAACCACCCAGGCCCAGGTGCTAGGTGTGACGTTGAAACACCTTCAGGCATTGCCAAAGGTGTGTAGCTGTTAGTGAAACAACACAGTATCTTTTCATATAATTTTAGAAATAGTCAAAATTTAAAGCTAACTCTTTTGTATACAAGAGGGCTACTGACTTTTTTTTTTTTTTTTTTTTTTTAGTTAATTTTGTATCCAGCCACTTTGCTGAAGGTGTTTATCAGCTGAAAGAGTTTTCTGGTTGAATTTTTGGGGTCACTCATGTATATTATCATATCATCTGCAAATAGTGATATTTGGCTTCTCCCTTTCCAATTTGTAATCCCTTGATCTCCTTTAGTTGTCTTATTGCTCTAGCCAGGACTTCAAGAACTATGTTGAAGAGATATGGAGAGAGTGGGCAGCCTTGAATTGTCCCTGATTTCAGTGGGATTGATTTAAGTTTCTCTCTGTTTAGTTTGATATTGGCAATAGGCTTGCTGTATATTGTCTTGTATGCGCCTTGTATCTCTGATCTCTCTAAGACTTTAAACATGAATGGGTGTTGGACTTTGTCAAATGCTTTTTCAGCATCTAAGGAGATGATCATGTGGTTTTTCTCCTTCAGCATGTCTGGTAGTTCAGTGGTTGAGATCTACTGACCTAGAGTTAGTTGTGTTTTGCAAATCGCAGTGGATCAAGTGCCTTTTTATTGTTTTGTTTCAGAGTTAATCCTACATGGAAACAGTTATTTTTTCACAGTTATAAAATATATATGGTTCATTAAAAACTAGATGGATTCATTTAGATGAATGTAGTGCACATAGAAAACCACTTAAATACACTTTTAATGTTCACCGAGGAGTACTTGGATGAGGCGCTCGCATCAACCTTGGCAATGGGGCAGGAAAATGAAAAGTTCTTCACAAATTAGTTGAAAGAATCTACAAGGAGTTGTTATGAGGTTACAACAGATTTGCTGTGGAGAATGAATTTCCCAGGGGAGAAAGGGTGAGTGTTTTTTAAAACCAACTGTGACATATTTAAATTACATTAGGAAACTATTATAGTAGGAGACAAAAGAGAGCTACAAAGGAGTCCTCACAGGGCTACAAAAAAATTGCTTCATAGAGTGACTTTCCCAGTGGAGAAAGGGGAGAATGAGGATGCTTAAGCATATTATGAAACAAAAGAAATATACAAAATCAAACTATACTGACAAGGAAGCAAACTTCAGTCTCAGTGGGCCTTGCAGACATCTATCTCCTTTATGAGAAGAATTAACTAATTCTTAAACTCCTGGCAGTCTGCTTCAAATGGCAACTTCATAGCAGAGGTGTGTGATTCTTATGACAATCATAAAAATAGTTCAAGGAGGCTAAGAATATAGTTCAGTGGTAGAGTCTTTACCTAGCATGCACGAGGAGTTGGTTTTGAGGCAAAGCAAAGCAAAACTTCTCCTTAAGCTTCAATATGTCCATCACTGGAGTCAAAGGGTTTACAGACCCCTTTGTCCCCTAAAAATCCTCAGATGATTGGGAAAACTGTATCAACTTACTTGAGATTGTTGAGCTATCTGAAGAAGTACTTTTAAAAGAAAATGTGAATAACTGGTATCAGGCACAGGACGTAAAATGTTTACAGTATTTAAGGGATTTGATATATTTTCATGCCTGACCAAATAAGTCGACAATTCAGTTTTAGACGTGAAATATAGCAGTTGATTTTAGAAATACTATTTAGGAATTTTCAAGAGCCATAAACATATTATGCCAGAAATACAGGTGAACACATTTATGTCTTTTCACTTTATCTTTTATTAATAACAACAAACTCACAAGATATGTCAGTTTTACTGGCAGCAATTTGCACAAAAGTTCCACTTTCAATGGAGCAAGCACAGATTCTTTTACTCCAAACGTAATTACTAATACTCAGATGATACATTTTATGTCACACGTGTGGTATGTGTATATGTAGTTTATAGAATGCCTGTGGCTAGTTAAAAAGGCTGTTCACCTTGTGGAGCTCCTGTCCCCTCCAGGTCTTTCATCTCCCCCTTCTTTCATTAGATTCCCTGCACTCTGCCCAAAGTTTGGCTGAGTCTCAGCATCTTCTTTGATACCCTGCTGGGTACAGTCCTCAGAGGCATTCTGTGGTAGGCTCCTGTCCTAATCCCTGTTTTCTCCCTCTTCCAATGTCCATCCCATTTGCCTTTCTGAGTGAGGATTGATCATCTTACCTAGGGTCCTCTTTCTTGCTTAGCTTCTTTAGGTGTACAGATTTTAGTATGCTTATCCTAAATTATATGTATAGTATTCACAGGCCAGCAATAGAACCAAAAAACCTGGATACACGGGTCTTTTCTGAGACTGATACTCCAACCAAGGACCATGCATGGAGATAACCTAGAACCCCTTGCACAGATGTAGCCCATGGCAGCTCAGTCTCCAAGTGAATACCCTAGTAAGGGGAACAAAGACTGTCTTTGACATGAACTCAGTGGCTGGCTCTTTGATCACCTCCCCCTGGGGGGGGGGGGTGCAGCCTTACCAGGGCACAGAGTAAGACATTGCAGCCAGTCCTAATGAGACCTGATAGGCTAGGGTCAGAGGAAAGAGAAGGAGGATGTCCCCTATCAGTGGACTGAGGGAGGGGTATGGGAGGAAAAAAGGGAGGGTGGGAGGTGGGATTGGGAGGGGGAAAGGGAGGGCACTACATCTGGGATGCAAAGTGAATAAATTGTAATAAAAATAAATTAATTAATTTTAAAAAAGGCTGTTCAGTGAGCTAGAAGCTGGGAAGCTTCTATCAGGTAGTCTATGCAGGAATGAGGAACCAGTCTGCCGGAGACCCTGCTGTTGCTGTGGCGGTGATAGACACAGGCTGCAGGGTCAGAGTGGAGCTCCAGAGATGAGACATGGGAACTGAAGCACAGAGACTACAGAGCGAAAGGTATGACGAGGTCCCCCCAAACAACAGGGAGATGGGTGGACAGAAATTTGAGGTTGGCTCCATCAACCATAGGGAGTGAGCTGAGCTGAAGTCTCCGGAACAATGATGAACTCCCTTTCCATTGGTCTCTTTATAAGTGGTCTGTGAGGCATGGCCCTCAGTCCAGGTGAGAGAGTTGTATCCGTACCTCAGTGGGGAGCCTCTGCTAAGTCTTCAAGCTAGGCTTTTTGTCATGATCTTAATACCCCCACGTGCCTCTGCGGTCCCAGTTCCCAGTGATGATGCCTTTCCTCCTTCAAGGAATGAACTACTTACCAGGGTGTGCCGCTCGGGTCATGTCGGGCAGAAGACGGTGTTGCTCATGTGTCTAGCACGATGTCCAGTCATCCGCCATTCTCACAGTAGAGTCACATGTGCTTGTAAACTGAAGTCTCTCAGGGCAAGGCACAGCCTGAAAACACAAGTTTTATACAACACAAAATAACATAGAGCAGGGTGCTGGCTGGCCTCTTCAACACCGTAATAAGAGAGTAGAGCGATGACCACTGCAGGCCCGGAAGATGTTGGTGGTCATGGAGGAGGTGGTAGTAGAGTTATGGAGGGAGTCAGGCTTAGTACGCCACAGTACCTCAGAGGGGCCTATTTTGAATTTTCTCATTTGTTTATTTATAAAAAGTAGGAGAGAGGAATTTGAAGGTTTTCAATGCACATAAACTACACTGAAACGTGAAAATGCTAATTATTCTTGTTTGACCATTATATATAATACTTGTTTTGAACTATCATAGTGTTGCATAAATGTGTGTAATTACCACATGTCAATCCAAATTAAAAGTTAATAAGTTAAGTTTAATTTATTGGCTTGTAGGACTCCTTAAGTGGCCCCTGTCAAGGTATTGTTTGCTAGCAATGGCTTTTGAGGAATCTGGGTGTTATTTGCTCAGCTAGACTCAGTGACTCTCACTAAGAAGCTGGCTGATCATCGTGGCCACTAGATTTCAATTAAGAAATTACCTAAATCCAGTGTCTGGGTTTGAACTCTTCCTGCTGGCCTAAGAAGCTCCTCCTCCCAGCACCCCACCTGTGCCTCCTTTACTGGACTCAGCCACTGGGAGAGTACACATGACTCAGAAACCGGTTCCCCTGGCTGTAACAATGATAGGGCTCTGGGACCATTACCTGGTAAGCCGATGCCTTTGCTTCATCAGCCAGTCTCTCCACAAGGTGTGTTGCTGTCACAGACTGCTGGGAAAGCACTCGTGTGTGCTTTTCCAGGAGTGGAACAAGAGGGCTCGCCACCAGCGTGGACTTCCAGGGACCTTTCTTTCCGGGAAGAAATTAAATGTTAATTAGAAACGCCTCCAGGAGATTCACCACGGCCCTGTAGACCGGGGAACACATCCAGAAAGGACAAGGATGGGAATCTTGTATTCTGAGGTATGTCACGTTTCTGAATCCACAAGAGCTAAAAGTTGCTCATGTTTTTTCACATATAATTGTGTATCCCTGTTATTTTCAATTCTGTTTCATGTTCCTTGTGAGTATTAAGCCAGGAAAGGTTCCACGTGCTAGGAGATTTAGTATTTTTAACAGTTCAACACAAGTCAGAGTGAAATACTAACATTTTCACTAGGCCTGAGTTGAGAGTGATGGGATATATGTTTTCTGTCATCCTAATTGCAGAGGTGATATGAACCTTGATAAACAGAGTTGCATCTGTATCGTGTTAAATACTGGAGGGTGAGGAAAACTTGTATCTAACTAGATTTTCTAAAAAGCCAAAAATTGGCAAGCTTTTCTATGGAACCCTTGGATAGACTGACAACTTCAAGCTTGTTATGGGAGAGAAAGTTCTCCTCTGGCAATTATTAATACAGTTTATCCCCGAATAGAAGCGGTGACAGGCAGCCCAGTGTCGGTATTTCGGCGATTTCCTTTTCATAGCTGATAGACAGGACATTTTCCTACATTGAAAGTAACTTTCTACAATCAAATACATTTTCAATGTTTCAAAGGACCATGTTTAAACAAGAATATCCGAGGCACAGTAATGCTATTATTAGTATTCATGGCTTACTACTTCCTCCTTCTCTGACACAATTAACTTGCTGATCTGCATTCCAATCTCTAAGCTTAAGGAACCTTGTTGATTTTGGTCTCCTTGCATGAAAGGTAGGTGTTTGGCACCTGCCTTAAATGTGCTTGTGTGAGCTTGAGTTTGTGAGTGTGTGTGTATGGGTGTGTGTGTTTCTTTCCTAAGTGCGTTGTTTGCTCATTTCACCATTCTGGGAATATCTTGCTTAGCGATTTTGATCTCATGAAGAAGTCACATGTCCATGAGGGACATCAAGACATAATGTATGAACATCCCACTCTGGCAAGTTTTCTGAGCGTCAAGGAGAGAAACTAGTGAAGTCTCTGGGATACCCACTCCAGAGTTCGGATTCAGAAAACTAGTTTTGACGGGGAATTCCAGGTGTGAGCTGTTCGCCACCATTCCTGTCAGAATTCCTGCTTAAGGCAGATGATTTTCTCAGACTCCTATGTGTATGCAGATAACGCCAATCTTGTTCTAATGCAGATTAAGATCACGCATTTTGCCTCCCTAACTCAGTGTGTAGATCTATGGTTCCTTAAAGATTATGGTGAGTAGATTAGGTCGTGAGAAGGGCTACAGTTTTTGAGTGCCTACCAGAGAGCAGGGAGGAGTGCGATAGCATATCAGTGTGGTGGGGATTTGTCAAGCAGCTTAGTTAAAACAAGCACAGGCCAGGTCAGGCCTGTTTACTTCCAAGTAGAAGTAAGAATCACTTCCAAAGTGATATAAACGTTTAACTTCTCAGCTATCTCAAGGACAAAATAAGTTGGAGTTTTCTTTTTGCTTTTCTGTTGCAATGAAAAAGGTTTATTTAGCTTATTGCAAAGGACACAGGGGACATAATATTTATTAACAGGAAATTTTCTATGAAATCTTAAATATACCCATACACACACCCCACTAAAAGATCTCATAGGTAATTCCTCAAAGCTCAAGATTAGTATTAATCACAAATAACATGGAATATGATTGAAGCAAATATGTTGTTGTCTTGCAAGGGGAGGCAGGTTCTAAGTCCTTCCATGTTATTTTTGTCAGTATAGTCTGCTTCAGGATTGGCAATCTAAAGTATGTAAATTACAGAATTTTTTTTGTCACTTAAGAAATGTGTTTTTGTTTTGTTTTGCTTTGTTTTGTTTTGTTTTGTTTTTGGCAAATGGTGTCTGAACTTGTTGGATGTCCCTTAGGTGTCTGAGGAGAAATATCCATTTCATAGCAAGTCCAGGCAGGTAACTTGACTGAACAGCCCACAGCTAGAATGAGTTTAAAAGCTGTAATACTCTGTCATTGCTTACCTTGGTTCTGCTCACCTTCCTGGGTTCCTCAACCCTTCTTTGCTTCAGCATCTCCTAGAGAGCTTTGAGATGGCTACAGTGCTGTCAGCAGATTCGCAAATATTCTGAACTAGTGGGGCAATAGTGGGCCCCCAGCAGTGGTTTAAAATGCCAGTTATGAACCACTCGTGGTTCTGGGAACTTCTTGTGGTATAGGGAATACTAAAGAGATTTCTGGGAAATGATCCTGAGGAATAAGCAGCATGGTCCAAAAGGGGAAAGGATAGCAGGATAACGAGGGAGTTACCTGAAAGTGGAAGGGACAGAAAGCCTGATCAGAGTTGATGACTCACTCCAAAACTGAATTAACAAAAGAAAAATTGGAAACCTCACGTTTTTGGAAACAGGGGTAATTCCTGCTTTCTATAAGGATAAGAATAATTGAAAGCGTTCTCGTGGCTGACCCGTGAGCTGAAACTACCGGATAGCCTCATACATTCCAAGAAGTGCAGAGACCTGAAAACAGGTAAGAGTACGGAATATTCAAGAGCCAGCCAGAATGTTGTAAATAAAGAGAGCAGAAGTGGGTTTAGGAGAAAAAAGCAGCCTAGTTCCGATTCATTTAGTGTTAACTTTTCAGCTGTGCAGACCATGGCTGCAGGTAACGCCATCCACAGGCTACGGCAGGGCCAGGGAGCCCGTAACAGAAGCACACTGTTAGCAGATAGTCCTTCTCCTCCTCCTCACCTCTTAGCGTATCTTCCACCTTCGTTTGAGTCTGCAATCTCGTGGCTTTGGCCGGGCGTCATGGTATTCTCACAGTTCCGCCCCCTCCAGGCTCACCACAGCCAGTTTTTGATCACAGATCAGCTTTTGAAACCCCTTGTTTATGACCCTTTCTCTACCTTCGCGTCATTTTGCTCCAGATCTACTTCCGCCTTCTCAAATCACAATGTCCTGTTCCTTTCTGTTCCCCGAGGTTATCCCGAGTGACCTTAAAATCTACAGGAAGCCTTCCTTTTCCTTTTTGGCCTCTGTCTCAGCACCCAGGCTGTCCCAGAGTGGGACAAATTTTCTTTCTTGGGCAAAATTCATTTGTAATACCTCTTATCATAATTGTGTGCTCACACACAATTGTGCGTGTATTGGTGTGTGTGTGTGTGTGTGTGTGTATGTGTGTGTATTATATGATGTGTATGCATGTGAAGGCCAGAGTATGAACTTGGGTATTTTTCCTCAGGAGTTGTCCATCATCTTTTGAGACAGGGTCTTTTACTGGACTGGACTGGGTGTTTAGCTTTGGCTGGATGGCCAGTGAGACCCAGAGGTCTGGCTACCTCACCTCCCCAGATAATGAGCGAGTGGCATCATATCTAGCTTTCAATTTTTTATATTTATTTATTCATTAATTATTTTTATATCTAGCTTTTTTGATGTGGGTGTTGGAAGATAAAATTCAAGCCTTCATGTTTTCAAGGTATCTGAGCTCATCCCTCCAGTCCCATCATCAGAAACCATTTTAATAGAAAACAAAACAAAACAAAAATACCCCTGGCTATCGAATTGAAAAGAATGTATGAATCTTCAAAAAGGATAAATACAATGCTGTGAGCATCCAAAGCAACATACGCAGCACAGATCACAGGGTTAGATACTTTCAGTTATACACTCATTCCAAAGCCAAAGGGATCAACCACTGTCTGTCACCAGGAATGCTTTTGGTTCTTTGTAAACACAGGAAGCCTGGGAAACTTTTCAGGGCAGTCAACTGGAGGGACAGGCTGTTTGTTGCTGGGTGAGAAAGGGGACCTAAATTTGTGTGGCGTCCCAGGGACTTGTCACTGTAATTCTATAACCCAGACCCTTCTCAATGCCTGTTTTTTTTGTTTGTTTGCTTGTTAAAGTCTCTGAAGAGTTTTCCTCTCCTAACTAAGGACTGGCCAGTTTGAAGAAAGAAGATGGGCTCATAGCTGTTTTGGAAAAAGTTCTGACCCTGGCCTTGAACTTGTTGAGTAGGGCCACAGCAGGGGGTCTGCTGATGGAGACACAAGCCCACAAGGTCCTGTTTTAAACTGTCACACTTTTGTCTTAGGTCAGAAAAGTGATGAAGAAGCCAGCCATCTTGGGTGTTTACCAACCTTGTTACCTGTCTGCTTACCAGGGAATCTGCCTAACGTCTAGCATCTTCTTAGTACTTATGGGCAATGTTAATTTTAGTATGCATCAAGGAAATGCACAGAGGAGATTTTTCCACAGTTTAATTTTGGCTTCATGGTTTCCTAGCACGTGAACCTTGCTCTGGTCACTCTTCATGCTAACTTTGCTCTTCTCCCCTGTGCTTGTTTCACTTTCAAGGGCACCCTTCTCCATCTTGCTAATTTATGTGTGAGTCGTGGTAAACCACCACTTTCCCAGCAGACAGACAGGTTTCCCCGACTTTTACCCTGGGCCCCTTCCCTCCACCCTTCTCCAACCACAGCTTTGCTGAAGAAATCCCTGCACCAGCTCAGCCAGCTGTCCCTTATGATTCTGGTGCCTCACTTGATGATTAAAACCATCTCATGTTTTTGTTCAGCCCAAACAGACACTAGTCATTAGGGATGCACCAGTTCCTCCACCCATGTGTTTCAGGAGTCTCCTCTCCCCTTGTCTCCGCCCTGTCTCTTATGTCATTAACCCGTTCACCTACATAAACATCAGTGCTATTCCTCTGCCTAGATATTTCTGCCAACCTATACACACTAGGCAGACCTGTATTAAAATAAAGAGTGGTGGCCAAGTATTTTTCTGGCAAAAATACTTCATCCAATCTGTAATTCTCTCTACTGAGTTTATCTGTCTTTTCTCTGTTGCTTGGCCTTGGAGCCAACATTTTCCTTCTGGGTCATTTGACTAAATCCTTTTTGCCCTGTCCTGTTATTTCCATTTTCTTTCAGCAATCATCTCCTATTTCATAACCATTCCTGCTCATCCTAATTGGATCCGTATACTTCAATAATTAGAAAAGTAGCTAGCACTAATTGAGGGTTTCAGATGACTCAGCTCCAAACAAACTGCTTCGTCCACACAGTCAGGTCTAGTTCTTCCTATCGCCTTATGCAGAAGGAATGGTTAGTGGATGGAGGAGGAAATTCAGCACAAGTGTCTAAAGGGTTCAGGTAAATTGCCCAAATAACACCTCTGCAAAAGGGGAGCGTGAAGGTTAGCACAAAGGAATTCACATCTGAAGCTTGTGTTTCTCATCACCTGAAAGCACCATTTCCCTCTAACCTGAACAGACCCTCGGTGCTACCTACTCTACTGTCTGTTTCCCCTGTTAAACTTACTGGAACTCCCTTGCCTTGATCCTAGTCGTTCAAAGACACTATATTGAGGCCACTGTATGCTGCCTTTTCCCCTGTCCTATGAAAACTGATCATTTCATAGTATTTATCACAACCAAATCTTTCCTTTTTCTTGAAACCTTCCTGTTTTGCTGTTAGGTTCTCCTTCTGATTTCTACTACTGTTTTTTTGGTGGGGTGGGTGGGTGTTGACAGTGTCTCTTTGTGTAGCTAGGCTGACCTCAGGTTTACTGTATTTATTTACTATATGATCTTGTCTGGCTTCAAACTCTTGTTTGTTCCTCCTGCTCCTGCTTCCTGAGTGCTGGGATTACAAGCAACTGCCTCCATACCCAGCAGTTTTTGTTTTTGTTTTTCACAGATAGTGCTAATTCTAAATCAGTTTTGAGAAAGTATTTGAATATGTAACCAAGCACTAGCAGGTCGGTGGTGGGAGGGGTCTAATCAGAATCATGAGTGTGTAAACTATAGCTTGCTTCTGGCATTAAGCCTTGCAACCAGAGAGACAAGTAAGACTGAGGTAACTAGAGGCAGAATGTGTGGCAACTGTGCTCCATGGCACAGTTGGCTCATGTAAGAGCTATGTGACTTTGGATAAGAGATAGTCTCTCCTAATTTCACCTGTGTATAGTGAGTATATATATATTCTCTTACAGGGCATTTTTGAGGATTTCAGGAATAGCTGAGGTACTCAATAAATGTCTGTTCATTTTATAATTCATTCACTGGTTTATTCACTCACAGAGGATATGTTGAGCGCCCACAAAGCATCACACACTCTACTAGACGCCGGGATACAGTGAGAATGTGTGGAAACAATAACTGTGCTCACGGACCTAGCAGGCTAGTTGGAAAGATGACTGCCGATAACTCTGACAGTCTGTTTTCAGGTGACCCGACCATCACAGAACAGTAATTCATAATGTGTTGGCTCACCTTTTGAAAGGAAGGAAGTCTAACCCTGAGGGTCAGTGTCTGGTGAGGGCTCCCTGTTCCATGGCAGAAAGGCAAAGGGAGGGTGGGAGAGAACAGACGGAAACAGACCTATCCTTTTAAGGTAAGGAACCCACTACCAAAAGGATGAGCACATTTGTGAAGTAGCAATACTAATGCACGAGAGTCATGTCCCTATGACCCAAAAACCTGTTATCTGTGCCCATCTCTGAGCATCAACACACTGGGCATCATATTTCTGATACATGAGTGGTGAAGGATACATTTAAGCCATGCAAAAAGGGTGTACCAACCTGGGCTAACGCTGTAGCTAAGGGGTCGGACAAAGAAGTAGTTGGAAAGAGGAGCTTTGTGAGGTTTGAGAGGCTCTTGCGTCTACTTACAGGCAGTACCCTCATCCAGTTGGTCACGGAGGATGTGATGGGCAGCTACTGTGCGAGTAGGATGAGTCCTGAGGGCGACAGAGACTCCCTTGGTTGGTGCTGGGCACACAGGGGGATTTTTAAAGCTTTACAGTTAATTTTCCAGGTGTAACTAAGCTAAAGAGCCTCTAGGTTCCAGGAACTTCAAAAATCCGGAAGAGCTTTTTCTTTCTGCCAGAACGACTACCTTCCTTTACTTACTGACATTTAAACTTCTCTTTATCTTAGTGTTTTATCTAACACAATAGGCTGCACATTTAAGAAGTACAGTGGAACAATTTGACTGATGTGTGCAATGTACATCGACCAAATCAGGGTGTCTATTCCATCTCTTTAAACCCTTTCTTTTCTTTATGTTGGGAACCTCCGAACCCCTCTTTTCTACTTGTTTATAAACTATATAGCAAATATTTCAAAACTATAGCCACCCTTCCTTCCATGCCGTAGAACACTAGCAGGTTTGACAGACCACCACCAGAAATGGTGAACTTCTCTTCTGCTTCCTGTGTGCTTTTCTGACACCGAGCTGCCCCCTACTGGACACAGTGCAAAACAGCAGGGAATTCTTTCAGTTGTTAGCACAGTTGAGAGGACTCGTAGGTTCCAATTCGGTGAGAGTGAAGTACACTACCCTGGTAAATCATCTTGTGCTGTTTACGCTCCGGAAGTGGGGCTGCCCCTGCCACATTTCAGACACAAGCAAGTTTGTCTTGAAGTGTTCTCTAAGACCTCTTGCCAAGGGGCAGTTTTGGCCCAGCTAGCTCTGTTACGAAGAGAAGGAAAACCGAAAAATAGCTCAAGGATAAAACATCGTGTCCAGCAGAGACTACTGATGTTTATTGCATGGTACAAAATGCCTTCCAGGAGGTGAGAAACGAGCAGAAACTGGAAATCCAGCTACGGGAGTCTCAGTTACGGAGAGAGACCTCAGTTGGGAACCCCAGCTGACTGCCTCCGCTTCCCCAGTCGATTACCGTTGATTTGATGACGTGACCTTGGTGTGTTCCTTCAGTCAGTCCACTTCAGTCGTCTCAGTTGTGAGCTCCTGACTTGGTCTTTTGTTATCTACCTGCTACTTGCGTATTTGTTCTTTTCCCTTTCTTCACTGCATGCTTAATAAACCGGTTCATTTGAAACTACGCCTTGGCTATCGCAGATAATCCTCTGGACCAGACAGAACAATGAGTTGTTAGTCACTGGTTATTGACACCGTGGCTATGATCTTCTAAAAGAAAGCACTTAATTGGTCGGTTTCAGAGGGTCAGTCCATTATCATCGCGGTGGGATCATGGCAGCGTGCGCGGCTCCAGGATCGTAGCGGAGAGCTAGCCACGTCCTGCTGTGTCAGCAGCAAGCACATGGAAAGACTCTCAAAGCCCGCTGCCAGCGATACACTTCCTCCAACCAGGCTGAACTGTTGTGGCGTTCAAATCCACAGGGAAAGACCAAAGACTCAATTCAAATTTAGATTAAATGAATTTATTCTTACTGCCCGCAGAAGGAGGGCAAAAGGCAGGCTGCACCAAAAGGATTGTACTGTAACAAAAAGACCGCTTCATCCAGGTCTCAGTGGTAAGCAAGTGGTTAAATAGCAAAGGCAGAAAGCAAGCAGTTAAATACTTCAGGGCCAGGACACCATTAACTCGTTATCTTATTCCTTTTCGTTGTTGTTGTTGTTTTGTCTTGTTTTTGTTTTTTTCTTTCTGTAGTTATGGCTGTCCTGGAACTCCCTCGGTAGACCAGGCTGGCCTCAAACTCAGAGAAGTCTGCCTGCCTCTGCCTCCCAAGAGCTGGAATGAAATGTGTGTACCACTTCTTGTCTTATCTCACACATAGGCCATTAGGATCTCACAAGCATTCGTGGGAAAAGGTCAATGACCCTTAAGGGATGGACGCCTGGTACCATAGTAGGTTTCTTTAGCTGTCGCCGGGGGGGGGGGGGGGGGTTAGTTAATCATTACATAGTTAATCATTACATAGGCCTGAGCACCCTGGAGGGAGTGTCACTAATCTACTGAGACAGAGCAGGCAATGACATAGTGTCATCAAGTTAGGGCTGCCTGTCACGCCCCCACAACACTTACTCCTAATCCTTCCAAACAGTTACTAACTGGGGACTAAGTATGCTAATATATGAACCCATTGGGGCCATTCTCAGTGTATTATATATTTATACTAGGAAATTAACCCAGGGCCTTGCATACATACATTCAGCATCAGCTTGAACATTGAGCTGCCCCTGACCAAAGGGGGCTTTTGATTGTTGGACCTCAATACTTTAATACCTGGACAGTGGTTGTCAGCCTTAGGAGGAGGAAGTAGCCAAATAAGCGAGTAGGCCTTAGGGGCTCACTTTAGGAATGTAATCTAATAGGTTTTAGCAAGGCAGAGGGCATGGGGGAGAAGAGTGAGGCCTGCCGGAGCCAAACTCACCACGCTTGAGCTGGCCAGGGTCCCTTCAATATACCGTTAAGGTTACCTGCTCCCTGGCTCTTCTCCAGAAGCACAGAACCAACAGAATGCATTCATAATTTTAGAGGGGATTTTTAATATATTATTTTACACAACCAGAGGCTGAGAAGTCCCACAAGGCAGCTTGTAAGCTGCAGAGCTTGGGAGACCATACCAACCAAGTTCAGGGAATTTGACACCAGCAAACAAAAACAAAAAGGGGAACCAGAGAGACACACTGTGGAATTCTTCATTTTTACATTTGCTTGGGCGCTTGAGTCTGGGTGTGTGTGTGCGTGTGCGTGCATGTGTGTGTGTGTGTGTGTGTGTGTGTGTGTGTGTGTGTGTGTGTGTGCATGCGTGCACCTGTGCTACAGAGCAGGTGTGGAGATCCATGGACAACTTGCAGAAGTTGGTCCTCTGCATCTTCCATGTGGGTTCCCAGGTTAGAACCCAGATCATCGGGTTTGGTGGCAAGAGCCTTCACCAGCTGTAAAGAAAGCCCCGGGGGCTTTCTCTCACCCAGGGCTGCCCTGAACTCTTTCTTCCCCTAACGCATCATTATACTCCAGCCAGACTCTCTTTTTCTGATAGGCTCTTTTTAATTTGAAGCCACGATATAAAATTTCCTTAGTGAATGAGACCTACAGTATTTCGTCGGTTTACTCAGTCGTCCACATAGCCTTTTGTCACTCGGCGAGCAGTTTTGGAGCCTGTGAGCAGATCTTCGTGGACATACGGGAGACCTAGAGTAATGTTCTCTTCTCGGTGGTTCATGCCTGTGTTTCAAGAACTCTTCTGCTCTTCTTGGCTCAGCCCATCTGCCAGGCAGCCTACCAGAATGACTTGGGGCAAGTGTGGCGGTGGGCGAAAGAAGACAACCATTATGTGGACATCCAAGACGGCTTCAATGGCGATACTCCACTCATCTGTGCCTGCAGGCGGGGGCACCTGAGAATCGTCTCCTTTCTTTTAAGGAGAAACGCCGATGTCAACCTCAAAAACTTGGTGAGTTTTCTGGGGGATGATGGTCTAAGGCAAACGGCACTGGAAATTTCTATAGGCCTAACTTGGAAAAGTGCAAGACAAAGTACTGGAATGTCTTTAGCCAAAAGTTTATCCATGTAGATACATTTACCACTTATATAATGTAATGACAATGTGCCAACTATAATGAGTAATGTAGTTTCTCTTATACTATCTGATGTTTGCCAAAAGAAGAACAAATAAAGTTAGATACATAAACCAAAGCAATCAGGTACACAGAACCAGGGAAGCTGTGACAGGACTAATCGGAGAGGAGAGACAGGAGAATGTCAGGAGGCATGTGGGAATGTACCCCAGACGTATCTGGAACAGAAGGGGGAGTCGAACTGTGAAGATTCTCCTCAAATTGCTGGAACTGGGGCCGCTGCTTTTTCTTCTTATAGCTTCTGATATCAACGATTCTCTGATTCTCTTTCATCTACTTTGTTTAACAAAACCCAAAGGCTGCTTTTTTTTTTTTTTTTTTTTTTTTTTTTTTTTTTTTGCTAGACTAAGAGAGAGCATAAACAAAACATTTCAACTTTCAACCAGCAGGATGTTTTGTGCTGACGTCACTGTGCCTCTGAAGAAGAGGATGGTCCACTCTGCTGGCCATAGGCAGCTTCTCCTTTTTCTGTTCTGCTTCTCCCAAGCTATCTTCACTCTCTCTTCAGTATTACAGAAATAAAGGGAGAGAGGGAAAATTTTGACTGCCATTATTTAGATTTTTACCCATTGTTTTAATATAGGTTTCAGTTTTTTATAATTTTTTTCATTGACACATGTCCCTGTACTTTGTGCTGGGTTAAGTGAGAACATCTTCACCCAAGTCTGTTGTGTGCTTTGAACATAATCCTCCTTACCTCCTTACCTTCTCCCTACATACATTCACCTCTCTCTCCTTTCCTACTAGTCTTTGTTCCCTAAGATAATTTTGCTTCTACTTTCATCTCAAATATCTGTACATGATTGAATATATATATATATATATATATATATATATTTAATTTTATTTTTTTCTTATCGGTTACATTTTATTAACTCTGTATCCAAGCCTTGTCCCGATCCCTCATTCCCTCCCAGTCCCTCCCTCCCTCATCTCCACCCTGCCCCTTTCCAAGTCCACTGATAGGAGGGGACTTCCTCCCCATTCATCCAATCCTGTTTTATCAGGTATCTTCAGGACTGGCTGCAAAGCTCTCCTCTGTGGCCTAACAGGACTGCTCCTCCCTTGGGGGGTAGGGAGGCCAAAGAGCCAGTCATTGAGTTCCTGTTAGAAATAGTCCTTGTTCCCCTCACTATGGGAAACCAATTGGTTACTGAGCTACCACAGGCTCTTTCTGAGCAGAGGTTCTAGGTTATGTCCATACATGGTCCTTGGTTGAATGACAGTCTCTGAGAAGACCCTGTGCCCAGATATATTTGGTCCTTGAGGAGCTCCTATCCCTTCCCCATCATACTAACTCTCCTTCTTTCATATGATTCCCTGCACTCTGCCGAAGGTTTGGTCATGAGTCTTTGTATCTGCTTTGAAAACACTGCTAGTTAGAGTCTTTCAGATGCGCTCAGTAGACTCCTGTCATACGTTCAATGCACATCCCATCTGTCTTTCTAAGCGAGGATTGATAATCTTACCCCATGTCCGCTCTCTTGATAATCTTTTTTAGGTGTATAGATTCCATTATGTTTGTCATATCTTATAGGTCCATATAAGTGAGTATATACCGTGTTTGTCTTTCTCCTTCTGGGATATTTCACTCAGAATGATCTTTTTTTATTTTTTACAAATGACTCACAAATGAGAGAAAGTAGAATAGTTCTCTGTGACTGACTTGGCTCCCTTTGCCCGATTTCTTGATTTCCCATTGCCTCCATTTTCTGGGAGTGATGTGACAGGTTCTCCTTCATGGCTAAAACACTCCATTGAGGCATAGGCACCATATTTGGCTCATCTACTCCTCGGCTGATGGACATTTCACTTGGTTTTATAGCTGAGCTATGGTGAAGTGTGCTGCAGCTGTGCACATCCTACCTGTGATATGATTTGGAGTTCTTAGGTAAATACCCAGGAGTGGCACAGCTGGATCACGTGGTTGATCTGTTTTCAATGTTTTGAGGTACATCTGCACTGATTTCCCACAGTGGCTGAACTAGATACCTTCCCAAGTACACTATTTTAGGGTTCCATTTGTTCCCATCCTTACCTGTATTAGTTGCTACTTATTTGTGGTTTTAGTGACTGCTGTTCTGATAGGGGTAGGTAAAATTAATAGAACTTTAATTTGTATTTCTCTTATGGCTGGTGACATTAACCATTTTTGTTTGTTTGTTGAACATTTCTAATCCATCTTTTAATAAAATAGTCTGTCTTTTCATTTGGCCCTTTATTGATTAAGTAGTTTGATTTCTTGTCATTTAGGCTTTCTAGTTCTTTATGAATTCTATATATCAATCTTCTGTCAGTTGTAGAGGTAGAAAAAATAATCTAATTTTGAAGGCTGCTTCTTCACCTGATCAACTATGTCCTCTGCCATGCAAAATCCTTTTTACCTCAGGAATTAAAATAATAATAATATTATTATTATTTGTATACAATGTGTGTGTAGGGACATGTGTGCCAGAGAGCATGTGGGGAGGAGGTTGGAGGACAACTTTGTGCAGTCACTTTTCTCTTTGTCTGGGATTTCCTTTACTTCACCCTCCTTATAGACTACTACCAATGTCTAATTAGAAACTTTTGAACAGCATGGTGCCTTGGTTCTCCCTGTTTCCCGTGTTTCTGAATTGAGACTTTCACATACTAAGTTAGGTTGTTGGGTGAATTTTTTTAGAAACATCATTCTTATTCTTTTTTTTGCTGGAAGTGTTTGCTGTGTTCCAAAGTGAAGTACATTGCCATAAGGTTGAGTTGCCATTTCCCTATGCTTAACTATGTGTGTAGCTCAGGAGGTAGGCCCTATTGTTTCAGGCACCAGGGTCAGTCCTAAGTACTTGTCTGTGAGCAGGATGATGTCTGAAAACAAGAGCCACAAGTAGGCCCATTATTAAAATACAGTCCTGGTCAAAAACTGATTGCTTGTTGGGTGCTAATAATTTTAGGAAGTAGAAGAACATTGATGGTACTGTATGAACCAAGATGCTACTTCATGTGGGTATAAGGAAAGTAAAGTAGAGGAGGACTAGCGATTAGTATTGGGATGATAAGGAAAGCACAGGGAAAGGAGAAGTACAGTCAATGGAAGGATTGCAGTAATAGAGACAAGGGGTAGGTGGATGAGGAGGCTTTGGATAATGGTAGAATGAGAAGAAAAACATAAAGAAGTGCTAGCAGATAACTTAGTGTCAGCTCTCAGAAGGCTGGCCCACAGGGCCAGACTGTGTTCGTTAGGAAAACCAACTGGAAGCTAAATAAACAGAAAAAAAAATTGATTTTTTAAAAAGACAGAAGAAAGAAGAAGAGGGAAAGAGGAGGAGGAGGAAGAAGAGGAGAGATTAAGAGTGAATGAGAACAGAATGGGACTGGTCTGTTTAGCTGGCCTGCTAAATGGACACTGGACTTCAGATAAACAAAAGGAATGAAAGTAAGAGATGGAGAGAGAGAGCTGGATGAGGGTGTTTGTTCTGAGTGTGGTCGCTTGCCTGCTTGTTGATCCACACTCGATTCTGAGTATTTTCTTGGGCTCTTGGATCTAGTCACACCCCTAAGTGTACAGGGCTGGTGCCATCACTGAGAGCTGATGTGCTCCTGGAAGCCTGCCTCTGTCTCCTGCAGACACTGGCTGGCTCTACCTCGGTGGGTGCTGCACCATTTGATGTTCTTTTTCCTAGCAAGCCAGAAGTTCAGGTTCTGCTGGGCAGGTACAAGTGCATAGTTCTGTGACAGCCGAGTCTCCCTAGAGCACAGTCTATGAAGAGTCTGTGGCTGCCAAGCTGACAGCTACACAAGAATCTTCCTAAAATGGCTTCTTGCTTTTGTTCCCAGGTGCTTAGCAGAACACCTTCTTCTAGTACCTCTCCATCCTGTGTTATGATGCATCTAACTTTTGTCTTTTTCCTCCTTTTTTTCCCCCTGTTTTTTTTTTTTTTTTTTTTTTACAGTGTCTATAACTGAAATTAGGTATAGATTTTTCTGAACTTCTCTGTCTTACACTATGGCTCTGGTCCACTGGTGCTGTTTTATTTTTCTCTCATTGATACGCAAGACTTGCGCCAATCTCTCTGAGGTAGTCTCTGGACTCCCTCCCACTCTGCTTGTAAAGCTTCTATTTCACTTTTCTACTGAAATGGGGAACCTTTAGCCCTCCTTCACCTGTTTTGATAGCTGTCATCCAGCGCTCCTTAGAGATCCTGGTGGAACATTCTTGCACGTCATGCACCATCTTCCAGTATTCAGATACTGATGCTTCCTACTGTAATGTCTTGCTCTCCTGAAGATCCTAAAGTGTCTGCGATGAACCTAACAATGTTAATAAGAAACCTGCTGGAGACAAAGAACTTGGTGAGCCAGATGGACACGGACACATAAAGACTGTGTTTAAGGGGCACTAGCAGCTGTGTTGGAGTGTGCCTCTCTAAACATTTCTGTGGCACCCTTTTTGACCTTTTAATATCTGCATTGTTTAAGCAAAATTTAAATTGTACTGGGTAAATATCCAAAACAACGTTTGCAATAATTACAAATGTCTTGTACCTACTCAGGTGCTTTCAATGAGAAAAATAGTTAGTAGGGACTCACTTGCCACTTCCAAGTCAGTTAGAGACCAGAAAACTAGGAAGGACACTAGATTATTGAAACTTTAATCAGGGGCGGAGAGATCTTTCAGATGTCCAAAGTTTTTCCCCCTGTACTCACGTGGTTGCTCAGCCGTCATTAACTCCAGTTCCAGGGGTATCTGGCACCCTCTTCTGGCCTCCAATGGGCATCAGACAGGCATGCAGTGATGGATACACATGCAGATAAAACACTGATACACATAAGATAAAAATAAATCTTATTTTTTTAAGTCACTGCCAGATTTTCTTGCTTGTACTTACTGTTTGCTTGGTGGGTCTTCCCCAGACTCCAGCACTTCAGTATGAGACCCAGGATTTGGCACAAGCTAGGCAAAGGTTCTCCTACTGAGCCACGCCTACAGCCTGGCCCAGTTTAAAAGCGACTCATGCTTGACTTGAATCTGAGAGATAAGCAGCTTAGGAGAGGGACAGGACCTTCCTGGAACAGCTGAGTGGGTGTGCTTGGATGTGGTGAGCAGCTGCATCAGAAACTGGAGACCTGTGGGTTCTGGCAGCATGCTATAGGTGGCTGGGGAAGAGAGACATTCCACAGCACAGGCGCAGTCCTGGGCTTTGCTTTTCAGAGGTGAACCTCAGCCATCCCTGTGAGATGCTCTAATAGGATATACATCATGGAAAGGACTTTAGTTAAGCACTGTAAACTAACAGTGGGTTTAGCAGAGGCATTTTGGGTTTGCATTTTCTGGCTTTACATATGTTTTTAAATAGTAGTTTGGTGTCTAATTTTATTTTTTACAAATATTAGTTGTGCATTAATAATTTGAGACAATATTTTATATTTCAAAAGTGTATTTAAGAATTATTTGATAAGTACTAGACAAAAGCCTTAAAACATCAGAAAGTCCTATTGTTAATTCAGAAATATATATCAGAACAGTGGCTGAATAGAAAGCAAATTGAAATAAAATTACAACACAGCATACCATATTTTTTTTGACTTGTAATTGGCTAAGATTAAAAAGAAAAATAAAATGTTGACTGGGAAGGAAGTTTAAGTCATCACCTCAGTGTAGCATAATTTGGTAACATCGTGTGAAACATATTTATATTTTTTTATGTCAGTTAGTCAACTTAAAGAGATTTATGCAAAAAATTACAATTGTTGACAAGGCTTTGTGAATGTGAACAAGGGTAGTTGGGTAATATTATTCGTCAAATTTAAAGTTTAACAGCTTGAAAAGTGCAGTGGGTAGGTGTGATTAAAGAAGTGAAAAAAGTTCTATTCAGTGAAGCCAAACAGCCATTACAAACATATTTGTAAGCATGTACATTGTACAGAAGATGTATAAATGAAAGCAGCATACAGTTTTGAATATACAATATTAAAATACTGACTAGTTTAAATATTCAAATTATACGTGTTGTTTACTTAATAAGACAAAGGCAATAGTGTCATGTCAATAATGAAACCTGGCTGTTCAAAAATGTTCATTTGAAAGCCTATCATATTCTTGACTATTTTCCAACATTTTCACAGAAAAGACAGGTACCTTGAAAACAGTGCTTCCCCCCCAGTGCTCAGTCCCCTTTCTTGTTCTCTTTTCCTGCTAACTTGCTTGATTTTCCAGTTAACACTGCAGCCTGTAAGCCTGATAACTATTTGTGCATGTTTCTGGCCTCCTTCAATTACAAGGACCTAAAGGTGTACATTCCCCACTGCTCCTCAAGGCATACGTCCATCACCCAATGGATATTGACATATTTAAAGAATTAGATTGTTTGCAATCTTCTAGCACTGCCTGTTTGCCAGGAAACATGGGAGAATTGCCAAGCAGTTAAAACTTTGCACAGCAAACCTTAAAATGGATACATTTCCACCACCAATGATCAAGAGCTAGCTATATGTATGTGCCTTCTTATACTAGCTATACTCTTATGTTTATATCTCATTATATTGTTTTGTTTTTTAATCTCAAAAGACTAAAACAAGCATGAGGAGTCATCCTGCCATGGTTTGTATGAACACTCATCTCTGTTGCTTATCTTTGGTCCTACCCCAGTGTTTCCTCCATAGTTTACAAATTCAACATTCTTGTAAACAAAACCCCAAGTTAATTAAACAAATTTGTGTCTAAAAGAAAGTACACAGGTTGATTGAGTATACACAGTATTTGGTTTGAATATGCAGAATAGCCCTACATTTAAAAATTCTATAAATGTTTATTTAAGAGACCTGAAGTTATATGGCATAATGTCTGTACTGCTTGGTGGTGGCTCTGCCCTGCAGACTATCAGAGCAGATGCTGAGATTTATGGCAGATTTGGGCAGAGTGCATGGAACCTTATGAAAGAAGTGGGAAATAGTAAGATCTGGAGAGGACAGGAACCCCACAAGGAGAACAACAGAACCAGAAAATTTGAACACAGGGGTCTTCCCAGAGACTCATACTCCAACCAAGTACCAGGCTTGGAGATAACCTAGAACCCCTGCACAGATGTAGCCCATGGCAGTTTAGTGTCCAAGTGGGTTCCATAGTAATGGGAAGAGGGACTGACTCTGACATAATCTGATTGGCCTGCTCTTTGATCACCTCCCCCTGAGGGAGGAGCAGCCTTACCAGGCCATAGAAGATGACAATGCAGCCACTCCTGATGTGATCTGATAGACTAAGATCAGAAGGAAGGAGAGGAGGACCTCCCCTATCAGTGGACTTGGGGAGGGGCATGCATGAAGAAGGGAAATGGAGGGTGGGACTGGGAGGGGAGGAGGGAGAGGCTTATGGGGGGATACAAAGTGAATAAAGTGTAATTAATAAAATAAAATTAAATTAAAAAAACCAATAGTTTTTTTAGTGGCATGGTAATCTAAAATCTATGGAATTTGCACTAAACAATCCTTCTCTTAATTACAGAAGGAGAGAACCTGCTTGCACTATGCTGTGAAGAAGAGATTTACCTTCTTTGATTATCTACTCATTATCCTTTTAATGCCTGTCTTGCTTATTGGATATTTCCTCATGGTGAGCGCTGTTGTTAGGACAAAGGCCAGCTGTGTAGGAGAGCCATGGAATGGCTCATCAAATTTCTCCTGACAGTGTAGTATAAGGAAATAGCCACACATTAGCCTTGTTTTATGCAGGTGTTTCTTGACTTACAGTGGGATCCTATCTCAACAAACATCTCATAAATGAAAATGTTTTGGATAGAAATGCACTTACTTTTCCCAGCCTACTAAACATCATGGATTAGGACCACTGTGCATTCTGGAAGAAATACAGGGTTTTTGAGCATCTGACCACATTGGGAGCTGTGGTTCACCTCCATCACCCAGCAGCATAAATAAGAGCCTAGGGATCACTGGCTGAGGCTTTTGGTTTATGCCATTTCTCTCCAAGTTTCTGAATTTTAAGGATTCACCCTAGTGGTGAGTTGGAGAGAAAAATCCCAAATCCCCCTAGCCTGGAAGCTGACAAGGACAGAAGCTATTTTGAGAGGTTCTGACCCAGTCTCTCACTTCAAAAAACCAAATCACACTTGCATGGGTCTTTGGTGGGATGATTTCCTCGAATAAATAAGTAGGTAAGTAGTTCAGGAATCATCTTAAGTAGAAGGTCAAACTTGGATATTTCGTATGTTCTTCTTTTTTTTTTTCTGCACCAATTTGTTCACTTTTTTTTTCCCATCTGGGTCCCATTGCGACCAGTTCTCCTTTTGAGAGATGACTAAAACAATGGATCACTTTAACCCAAGTTAACCAGCAATGTTTCCTCTCTATGTAGCTAGCAGACAGCAGACACTAGTTATTCCCATTAAAACAAGTTCCAGTAAAAAATTCACCAGTTAGAAATTCTATTTTCTGCTTAGGTACTTAGAGGACATAGAATTAAAAAAAGAAATACTGTGGTGAGAAATCTTCAGTTCACTTCTGAACACATCATTTCCTTACATAATTGAAGGCTTTTTGGAAAAAAAAAATTGTATTTACCTTACGTTATTTGACCATTTGTAACTTCTGAGCATGAAGAAGAATCTGTCATTCGCTTATATTTTAGAGGTTTTGATGAAAAGTATCACAAGAGGATTACTAAGGGCTTATTCAGAATATACTGACACTCTGCTGTGCTTCCAAGCATAGCTTCAGAAGCTGAAGCCTGTGTAAAGATTCTGATGGCAATTAGCAGCCCAGCTACGGCTGCCTAACTGCACTATTAGTGGGACCTGGAATTGTAAGTTTGTGCTGCGTAAGGAATAAGCATCATGAGACAAATTACAGGGTAAAGATTAGAAGAGACCAAGTCACTTCACAAAAGGGACAGGGAAGAAAGAATTTAGGTGACATAGGCGGACAGCGTGGTGACGATGACATCCAAGTGGAGTTTCAGAGGTTCCATGGGGAAAATGCCAGCCTCTGCTTACACGAGCAGTGAGGTGTTTGCCTCCTCAGGTGACCAGCTGTTGGAGAAAGGTTCCTAAGTCATGTGGTCAAAATCTTAATGAGACGAGAGAGAGAGAGAGAGAGAGAGAGAGAGAGAGAGAGAACACACCTCTGAGGAGTCTCTGCTCAGGCCATTCACTCCTTCAATGCTTCATGTTTATCACGAACCCCTATGTGCAGGCCAGGTATTAGGGAAAGTCCTTGCCCTCATCAGACTTAGAGCATGGCAGGGAATCGGTTCTTATCAAATGGCGTGGACTTGTGGGAAATCACCATAAAGCTGGGGACAAAGATACAGCCATTACAAAAGCTTAGAAGAAAAGGATTTTACCTGGCCAGGCAGGTCAGGGAAAGCCAGAGAAAAGGGGTGAAGGTTGGAAATATCACATACATATTTGCTAGGCAAAGACTGAGAAAGCTTCTGGTTGAAGACATTTCCTATGTTGTGATTCTCTGCAGATAGGACACTTGTTAGGAAATAAGTCTTAACAAATCTTCATTGTAACTAGAGTAGGGAAGCCAGGAGGTGAAGCATGGAAAAAGGCCAGGGCCATATGCCCCAGTTAAGAATTTAAAGTTTTCATCAGAATAGTGGGAACTTACGAAACCTTTGAACCACAAAGAGAAAGACAGGAACTAGAACTCATTTTGCAGAAGGATGAGGTAGAAATGGAATTAGGCCTGTGAATGCATTCTGATCAAATTCCTGGGTATTCATGAAGCATAACTTGTGCATTGTGACTTTAACGGATACTGTACTGTGTGTGTGTGTGCATTAAGAACTAGAAATTAACATGAAGCCAGTTGATTGGAGCAGTCCCAAACAAGAGGTATAAAATGTTTCTGAAACACTTTCTCGTACTTGCTGTTTGTAACAGGTATCAAAGACAAAGCAGAATGAGAATCTTGTACGGATGCTCCTTGATGCTGGAGTTGAAGTTAATGCTACTGACTGCGTATGTTTGTATTCTGAAATAATATTCAAGTGATATACCTGGGTAGGATACTTGTAACAAAGATGCATGCTTTGCTTTTCTAAATGTTTGCATATGGTTTTGCTTTCTATTTTTCTTGTTGCCATCGGGTAACTTTGGAGTTATTGATATTCTTTGGCTAAACTCATGAGCATAAAGTATTTGTTGATTATAGAAAAAATTTAAGAGACTTTGCATTTAACTGTAGTGCTATATTAAGGAAAATGGTATCAAAATAATATCCTTAGTAGTTTAGCAGCTGGAGCTAGAAGGCCTACGCATACATGTAATCTTGTCACTTTCTAGTTAAGTGGTCTTGGAACATTATAATTTTCTTACCTGTTAAATGAAGATTAATACAAATTGTACTAGAAATTGAACTCAAAGCATCTTACATGCTAGGTAAATACTACCGAACTATATCTATGCTCCTTATTATTATTATTCTTTTTAAATGAGGTAACCTTTTGTTAAGTTCCTTAAGGTGGCCTTGACCTTGTGAGCCTTCAGCATCGCCCCCCTGAGTATCTGGGACTACAGACCTGCCCAGCAAGCCTGAATATAAACTCAAAATTCGTCCTGGCCTTTTAGGGCAGGTTCCTGCAAAGTCCTCAGACAGGTGATTAGAGTGCAGCCAGGGCTCGCTGGAGGTTAATAGCTGCTGCAGTCAAGGCCCTAACCATAAGAATGAGAGAGGCCTCTTTCACAGATGGAAGGTAGCTAAGGTCAAAGTTCAGAGAAACACCCTCGTGATGGTAGCAGTCACAGTAACTGAAGCATCATTAACTCCCTCCGAAGCGGCAGGTTTTGATTTTTACCTTTCACCTCTACACGTCACATTTACTTTTTCAGCTAATGCTCTCAGGGTCGGTGGAAGTTTTACTACCCTGTTGTTTTAGTTTCTTATATTTGTTGGATAAAAGTTAAGGTTTCTAGTATTTTAGCAAAAAAGGGAAAGTGTAAACTTGATTTCCAAAGAGTTGCACTTCTACTTGTGATGCCAAACTTATTCTGCGGGTGCTACCATGGAGCTGTGATTGAATGCCCACCAAATTCTTGTTTTGTTAATTTCTTACATTTTTTATGCTATATTTCATTTATGTCTAAATGATGATGAGTTTATTTTTTTTATAAGTTGCACCTTTTAGTTTAGATTGGAAAATAAGAAAGGGTGAGATATCAATGGCTTATTGGATTTTCATAGACTTGGTGAGGAAGAGAAGAAAATGTTGACAGCTACTCATAACTGGCTTGCAGATTGGCTTTGGTCAGTTGTCCACTCTAAAGTGTGAATAGTCACTCAAGAGGTGAGTACCGAAGCCTGTGGACAGCCTGACTGATGAACTACAAGGTTGGCCTTTTGTTTTCCAGTATGGCTGCACTGCTTTGCATTATGCATGCCAGATGAAGAACCAGACGGTTATCCCTCTGCTTCTGGAAGCCCATGCAGACCCCACCATAAGGAATAAGGTAAGAGCCTTGGAACCGCGGTCCTCCCAATAGCGAGTTTTTCTCATGTAGGTCTTTTTCACCGCCTCTCATGCGAATCATGGTAAAATTAATTGCTCTTGTTCAGGAAGGAAGTATCTCACTATTTTTGAATTTTAAAAATATTAGTTTTTCATATTTGGGATTAAATACAGCATGTTTAATATGCTAAGCAAGTTCTCTACAACTTGGTTATATCTCCAACCCCCTTTTGCTTTTTAAATTTTGAGACAGGGTCTCTCTCAGGTGCCCAGGCAAGCCTCAAGATTGCTTTCCAGTCATTTTAAAATTATCATTATAACTTAAAAAATTTTAGAACAGAATGCCTTTTAAAGCCTCAACAAAGCCTCAACCGTCTGTCTAAATTGCCAACTGGCCCTCACTGACATTGGTCTCTCCTGGAAGTAAACGGTTTCTTTTTCCTGCAGCATGGTGAGAGCTCACTGGATATCGCTCAGAGACTAAAATTTTCCCAGATTGTACTAATGCTAAAGAAAGCCTCATAGTCCTGGGACTTCTCACGTGGTGACAGAGACACAGCTGGAGGAGCGGATGTGGGCCCTACCATGGATTATGGCTCTATGGGCACTCTCTCTGGATGCATCTACTTTCTGACAAGCACCGGACTTTTACAGTGGAGGCCGCTAGGGCCAGAATCCCTCCAAAGGACCCATTACACGTATTGAAACCTCTATTACTGTCAAAAAGGATTTTTTAAAAATGTCCAATTCAGTGTCTCTTAAAAACAAGCCAGAGTGACCCAGGGCCACACCTCTTCCTGCTTGTGTCATCATTCTAATGACTCTGCCCTACCTTCTGTCTTGGGAGACAAACGATTTGCCTCAGACCCCTGGACATCCTGAGCCACAGAACCAAAGCATGTGCATTTGAGCAGCATGGGCACGTATGTGTACGGAGTGAGAGGTGCCAGAGTAAATATTCCTTTGATGGAAAATCTTGAATAAAAACATGTGCCGTTGTCAGGCGAGTTTGTCTAAACCATTGGAATCGGTACACATTCCGGAGCAGAACTGGTATTTGTCATTGTTTCCAGGGAAAGGTCAGGGGGTTGACCTGCAAAGCAGCATACATTTCACTAGCAGTTTATAAATTAGTGTATGTTTCAGTTTATAAGTTATTTAAGTATCAAAAATACCTGTTCAAAATCCTTCTGGGGCTGGAGCTGCAGTTCAGTGATAGAGCACTTACTTGCTATGCATAAAATTCTGGGCTCACTCCCCAACACCAAAAATGAAGAATCTTCTGTGAACGCAGGCTAGTTGCTGCTATTTATTTATTTTTCTTCTTTGTAGCATTGGAAATTCAAACTATGGTATCACCCACACTAAGTGTGTGTTCTACCACTGAACTCTAACCTCAGCCCCAGTTTTGTTTAATTTCATTGGTAAATTTTAAAATATTATAACTTATTTGGATAGAAGTCTTGCTTCTTCATAGAAGCAGAGAAGCATTTGGATTATATTTCTGAGTGAGAGGTTATGAATATCAAACTACCTGTCTTACTTTTGTGTGTGTGTGACTAACACTGAATGGAAATACATCTACCTCACGGGTGAATTTTGAAAATCTAGATGACTCAGGCACAGCTGTAGACGTGGTCAAAGCCACACGATACACTGCAGCAAACAGAGTTAAGAATGAAAATTTGGTATCCTTGAATACAAAAAGGGTCAATAAAACTCAAATCAGGACATGTTTCGGGAGCTGTGTACAGACCCCGAGAGTGCACTTAGGGCTCTCAACTCCCTAAGTGTCACTAAGAAACTTACTTAAGATTTGTTAACATTGGACTATCTTACCAGGCACTTTGGGGAGGAAAACTGAACTTCAAGTCCAATGTAGGTTCAACAAACACCTGTATGGCATGTTCTCAACTGGATACCTCCAACAGGCACTGTAGAGCTCTGATTTACCTTCAGAGTAGATTCCCAAAAATCTTCATACTTTACAACTGTCATCTTTGAAATTATGAAAATTAAAGAGTTTTCTAAAGACAAATCTAGATTTATGAATGAGGTGGAAGATTATCTGAGAGTGAAGTGATTCTGCCTTGATTCAAGGATAAAACTTACAGTAATTTATTTCATTCTGCTCATGACATTATACATTTTTTTTTGTAGCTTTCCTTTGGACCAGCTGGTCTCTTAACACAAGATGCAAGTCTCAGTACTGACACACAGACGTGCCGTATGAGATACATAATTAATTTATTGGAAAACTCATAAATATCCTACAAAATACTCATCTTTGAGATCCAGCTATAAAACTTGACCCTGTTTTAAGGTAGTTTAGCTTAGAGTCCATCTATGCAATAATTTAATTTTTCTGTTGTTGTCCAAACAGCTTGACTTCCTGAAGCAGTACCTTGCCTTTAGGGCAATGAGATGGCAACACCTACTTCATTTTATCCAAGTCAACAACCAAAGATTTTCAATTTTGACCTCTTCCCCAAAAATGGGGAATTTTTTACTTCCCCTAAAAAATGACTTATTGAAACAAAATATCATTTTGGAAAGGTTGGATGATGTAATAATGAATGTCTAAGATACTTTCTGTTGTTAAGTAAACACTACATTGCAGTGTAGAAGGTACAAAGTGCAGCATAAATGTGTTCACCAACTTAGTTTAACCAACTGGGAAAAAACAAAAAACAAAAAAAAAAACAAAAAACGTAAGTATCAGCTGTAGCATCAAACGAAAAAATCCGAAGCTTTCATTTGAACATTTTCTTCTGGCGTCCGTGTATCTCTGTCCTTCTGTCTAACTGATAAAGCTAGTTTCCAACTGGACCTTTGGAAATCTTTGAAAATCTTCTCCTCATGGCCCTGCCTATACTGCATGAAGTTGTTCCAAGACTTGCTAAGAGCATGAGTTTCACAATTTGACCTTGCAGGCTCCCTGGGAACGGCTGGGCTCCTGTTTCATCAGATGTATGATTTCGTTGTACACACGGTGAGGGGCGTCCAGCCCCCAGATGAAATCCACATGAGCCCATTCAGGAATGTTCTTGTGGTAGATGAGGTTGGTCACTTCAGAGAGCAGTGTTTTCACATCGTCTGGATTGGAAAGCCAGTCTTGACCTCCAGTCCACATTGCTGTGGGGACCGTCATATCTCGAACATTGTACCTTATAGGAGTTGGCTAGATAGAGATAATGGTTTGAATGCCACGTAATATTTTTACACCCAAGTCTACAGCTTCTATTAAGAAAACGTAATATTTATGTCCTGAAAGGTGCGTATGAATTAGAATCATATACAACTTTGTTAAGAGTTTCTATTCCAGGTCCAATTTTAAGGAAAACTTCACACAATTCAACTTTAGCTTCTTCACTGTGAAATGGAGATAATGGCTCTAAAAACTTACTAGATTGTATGAGAGTCATACAAATAAAAAAGGTGTGTGTGTGTGTGTGTGTGTGTGTGTATGTGTGTGTGTGTGTTGACAGGGATTTAATTCATACATATTGAATACATGCTCTACTGCTAAGCTGTACTAGAGTTCCTACCTTGCACTGTAGACACTGAATAAGGTATAATTTTTATTAATGAATATTTTATACATAAATTTCCTTTTAAAATAGTGTTCTAGTCAGTTAGAGTTTATGGAACAAGAACTGCAGACATTCCACAGAAAAGACAAGGGAACCAATTATGAAGGCCTGTGTGTCTCCACATAGACAATGCAGGTTCAGCTTCACTGCCCCTTCCACACCAGGAGAAACCAGAAATCATCCTCAGGCACTCAGATCTTCTGAAGTAAGGAGGGCATGAAGTTAACTACCTGTCTCAAACCCAGACTTAGCTGCCCTTGAATCATTCAAATAGTTTTCGTTATCCAGGGAACCTCTCTTGTTCAGGCAATGCTGGTAGATTTTCCTGGCAGTCTGCCTCTTTGAGATCATTCAACACTCAGAAATTACCACAGAATCAGGGAGGCCAGTTTCTTAGCATAAAATCAACCGCAAGTCACAGCTTCAACCCCAGGCAGCTTCTTTGTTTTCCTGGCTCCTGAAGAACTTGAGTGGCTGCCTAATTTAGATGCAGAGCAGAAGGACACTCTGGTGTGAGTATCACTCGCTCTTTCTCATCTACTGGGGGAAACCACTGAGCTAAATGTCCCACCTACCTCTAGCTGACACCATTAGATGGCATATTCCCACACATTTGTTTTTTTATTTTATTTCCTTCATTGCCACTTTCTCATGCCTGTTCTGCATTGGTAGTTTTCTCTAGAACTCAACCCACAAAAACCTTACAAATGCAAAATGTCTTATAACCTGAATGTTTTCTCTACAGGCATGGTTTTGAAGACAGGCAAGGGAGATCTCAAAAGAATTAGTTAGAAAACGTGATGAGTTGGGTGTCCAAGGGGAAACCACACAGTTGATTCAGCTTTCCAACAATTTATATCTAGGTGGATTACTGTACTACATGTTAAGTATAATGTCAGATCTCAAAGAAAGATTAGGCCGTGTGCATTCTGCTCCCTCCACTTTGGATTTTATGACTAATCTTTATATCTACTTTCCTGGCAACCAGAAATCTTCAGTGAGAGTTTTATACTCAAAAAGAACATACTCAGCTCTGATTCTCCACATTTCTATTTCCTTCTCCTGATAATGTGATATTTGTGTGGGCTTCTTTTTGTATTTTATCTTGAAATTTATATTCGTTAAAAGTATAATCAGAAAGAACTTGCGTGCATGTGTGTGGTGGTTTACCTCTGTGTGCACACGTGTGTATATGCACACACACTATGAGGTACCCTGTGTATGGACAGAGGCCAGAGGAGGACATGGAGCAGCTTGTCTGTCAATGTATGTCCTGATCCCTTGAGACAGAGCTCTCATCAAATCGGGAGTCTACTGAACTAGCTGGTCAGTAAGCCTCAGCAGTCCTCCTGTCTCCAGTAATCCCTGGCACTGAGGTTATAGACATGCTTGGCCATGCCTGGCTTTTTATGTACATGCTGGAGAACTCAGGTGCTCATGCTTGGACAACAAGTCCTCTTACACACAGAACATCTCCTCAGCTACCAAGGCATATGAAGGATTATATGATGCAAAGATTTTTGCTTTAGCTAGAGTAAGTCCCGAATTATGGAAGCCTACCCATAATTCCACAAGCTTGAAGTGCAGAGCCATGACAAACAGGAATCCCCATTTACTGCTTCAGGCTCTTTTTACTGTGTCACACGATCATAGCATCTCTACATGGATGTTTGTTTTAGTCCTAAAAGGATTCCTTTAGTATGCACCCATCCCTAACTAACTCAACCCTGTATTGCTCCCAAGAATCCATGGTGCCTTTCTCCTAGCTCAGTGAAATAGGCCTCCCACTCTTTGCAGAAACAGAGGTTGCTGGTTATCTGTGTACTTTCCCATTTTCAGATGTAGCTAAACTTGAACTATCATCTTTCCTGCTTGAATTTATGTATTTTATTCCTGTCTCTGGAATAACTTGTCATTGCAACTTCCCTCTCACAAACATTTCTGAAGCACGGCGTATTTTCAGTGGGTGGTATTTGACAGACTTACTTGATTGCATTTCTCCAGATTTTTGGTCTCACTTCCCCAGTCAAAGGCACGAAGTTCCCCAGAATTCACTGCCTAGAATGAAAGAGAGAAAACAGGATATTGAAGGGGAGAGACAGGTATTCAAATGCACACCCCATCTTCAGTTGTGAGAACAGCTGAGACCAAAGCTCTTTGTGCTATTTCCCCACTCAACACTGGGAATTCTTATAGAAAACAGCAAAGCAAGAATCCAGCTTCTTTAGCAAGAAATGTGGCAGCAAAGCGTTACCATTCCAGACTATTGCAGAAAGTGCATCTTTTGTGTACCAGTGTGAATAGGGGTAGGAGGATGGGGGAGGGGGGCAGGAGTGGGAGGGAAGTGTGGAGGAGGTTTAGTACAATTCCAGAGGCCATGATATGACTGCACTGTATAGCTGGGTAATGTTGTGCTGCTGAGAGACAGTGTCCAGAGTTTTCTATTGACTCCCTCTGTTTCTCCCCACCCTTCCACACACATGCACACACAACAGACAGTCAGACAGACAGACACACATTCCTCTCCCCACCCTTCCACACACACACACACACACACACACACACACACACACACACACACACTCCTCTCCTGAGACTGTAAAGTTGACAACACCAAGATTCCCTGTGAAAATTCCTTTCTGTAGCTTGTCCTACCTTAACATTTCACTCTGGCTTGATCATGTTGTTCAAAAAAGTCGAAAAGGACAATTTGAAGCATAATTTCCTTCGTTAGTCTTTAGGACTTTGATTTCAGACAGAGGAGGGTCTCATTTGAGTCATCCTACTTTCAAGATGCACTAAAGACAGGCTTAAGCCACTTTCTGCCCTTGCCAAAAGTCTGGAAAGTCCAACTAAGTTCACATTCAAATGTCAGTGGCCAGATTTTAACTCAGGATAAACAGAAACTATCAGGCTACACGACTATTCTAGACAAAATGTCAAAATGTGCCAGGATTCTTACCCAGGACTGTAAGCAGGAAATTTTTTTTTTTCTTGAGACATGGTTTCTCTGTGTAGCCTTGGCTGTCTTGGACTCTCTTTGTAGCCCAAGCTGGCCTCAAACTCACAGAGATCCACTTGGCTCTGCTCCAGAGTGCTGAGATTACAGGCATGAGCCACGTGGTTCCCAGCTAAGCTGGGCATTTTTACCTGGCTCCAGTGGAGGATATTCTGCACAGATGTCCCAGCAGGTGTATGGGCGACATATACGTTTGCTCGGCTCTGTAACAAAGCATAATGGTTTATGGGACCAGAGGTCAGTCTTGTCCAAACCAAATCTCCATGGTGTCCGGCTCAGAAATGGTAGTACCATTTAATCAGCAGCCATAAATCTACTAAACAGGAAAGTACATGTACATGTCAGTCAACTACCACTGCCTACCTATGAAATGCTTTTGCTCATTTGAGGAGGTGGTTCTCATTAAAAAGACATGGCTAGCTTCAACCCTAACACTGCAACAATAGATTAAACAATAATACTTAAGTAACTTTAGAGATATTTAGAATAAGGACTCTAGGACTGGACCTGGCACTATTATTTACTTTTTGGGTGGATCTGCACAAGTTAATTAACCCCTAAATTAAATGTGCTAGCCTGTACAGTGGAGAGATTAATAATACTCGTCTCCTGGGTTCTGTGTCAGGAGCAGTTTATCTCGCACAGTAAAGATGCCTATTAAATGGTGGCTGTAAGTTAATTGATTGCATTTTTAAATTTTCCTTTAAAAAGAAAAGTTCTCAGGAATGACTTTAAGATATTTCCCCAGTCATTGGGAATGCTACAGGCAGGCAGTCCTCTCCTGTCAGCCCTCACAGGCCTCATCTGCCTGAAGATCCACGCCTTAGCCACAGTCTTTCTCATTATTATCTCTGTGGGGTTAGTCCACCTTCACAAATCCTAGAGCACTGATCCTCAACCTTCCTAGTGCTGTGACCTTTTAATACATTTCCTCATGTTGTGGTGACCCCCAACCATAAAATTATTCTGTTGCTACTTCATAACAGCAATTTTGCTACTGTTACGAATTGTAAGGTGAATGTCTGATATTCAGGATGTCTGATATGTGACCCCACAGGTTGAGAACCACTGTCCTTACAGGGTCACCTTCAGCTTGTTTTGAAGTTTGTCACAGTCCCACATTTTATCTGCCAAGTCCGAGTCCCTTCCTTCTCTAGGAATTATTTCTGGCCATATCATTTTGCACGTTAGTCTCTGGCTCATACATGCTAGGCAACTCAGCCTATGATGCCACCAGTAGCTATACCCAAGCCAAGCTGAAATATCCATTTCCATCGAGGAACATCAAGTATAAAACAAAAGTTCCCACATGGAGCTCTGAGACTGGGGGTGTCTGGTTGATTGATTTTCATTTTTCTAGTTATTTTCCTTCATGTATTTACTTCCTGTAGGTTTTCAATCTCTAGGTATAATCTGTCAAGTTAAGGTCTGGCAATGTTTTCACATGAACCTTGCATTATCCCCTCCTGAAGCTTGCCCAGCATGTCCTTACAATTTTGAAATCGCAAATGACACGTCGCATGGCCCTTCTCTAGGCCTTGGCTGGTGTTAGCTCATTTTCAAGGACTGAGACTAACACACCCAGCTTTGCTTGGGAAAGGAAGTTCTTACTCACCATGTTCATATTGTTAGTGTTAAAGCCCCCCAGGAGTAAGATGATGTTGCTGCAGATTTGGTCAAGAATCATTTGGCCGCAAAGATAAATAAAAAGCTGTCTGAAAAATCTAGTCTGGTATAAAAATTCTTGTCTGCCAAATAATCCCTGTAAAGATAAGAGGTGAAATAAGGTCTGTGAGAATATGCCCAAGGAGAAAAATGGCTTCTGTTTAAAGCATGCATTACAAGAAACTGGGCTGAAAGATTTTCCTGCAGATAGAGGCCTCTAGGATGCCACATACCTTGATCATCATATCTGGAAGCAGCAGAAATTTGGTACCAGGGCTTTTTGCATATTTAACAGTGGCTATAGGGGCTAAGGCAAAATACATTTTGATTTTATGAGCTAGCTCTGGCATCGTGGAAAATGCAATAAATCCTGTAAGAGAGAAAAATGTATCACTTATTAAAAATCTAAGAACTCACAAATACGTATTTTACTCTGCCAAAACTCCTTGATAATTTTGTGTCATTATGTCTTAACCTTTCTCTAATACAGTTGTAGACCTCAGGATGTAGTGTGTGTGTGAGGGGGATGGGAGAGAGCTCAACACAAAAATTCCTGTGTTTCATATGTCATCTCTCATATTTGTTTCCAAGCAGTAAGTCCTCATTGAGTTAAATTGCTCAGCTCCTACATCCAGAGTAGAGAAAACAGTTTTCCCAGTTACTCTTGTTTAGTGACCATCTCTGCTGAATCTATGAAAGAGAAAGGCTGCCTCATGAAGCCAGGACAGTCCCTTATTTGAAATCACGTATATATGCACAACCTCTGTTTGGGCTGATATTTCCAGTTTGAGAAATAAGGACGGGAAAATCTTGACTCATGACCTCTGTTCAGTTCCCAGAAAGTGAATGGGTATAAGAGAAGACAGGATCTTTCTATACAGTTCTCTGCGTCTGATCAGAGTTGTGAGCCATATGCAAAGGCAAACAGAGAAGAGACTGGTTACTATCTCTTGCTCTCCCAGCTATACTGTGAGTGCAAAAGAAAGGGAATACTTACGCCTATCGACACCAAATTAATTCTGACAAGATTAGAACCTTCCTCAAATGTTAGGATCTTAGAACCATAAACAAACTTTTCCAGGAAAACCGCTCTTCATGCAAAGCAAGTTTAATGTTTTGATTTTAATATCCCATGGTTTACCATTAGATAATCTTGGTTTTCTTGCTCAGACATTCCTCTGAAAACAGCATCTAGCCTTGCCATCAGCACCTTTACCTTGGTGTTAAGCTGAACAATTTGAGTATAGAAAAGTCATTCTAAAAATAGCTCTGGATTGTAGAGATATGAAATAGTGTTACGTTTCTATTGGTGATTTGATGAGAGCTAGCAACACTACAGCCCATTACTGTTATCCGAAATTAAGATAAGGAAAGTGTAAAACCTAGACTTCTCTCATCCTTTACAGCAGCACTGAATTTGAGCTCTCAGTTCCAGCAGCCATTAGACATTTCGATTCCCAGAGTTTTTGGCTCTGTTGGTCTCCTTGTGAAGCTCCTGTCCCCACCAGGTCTTTCTATCTCTCCTTCTTCCATAAGATTTCCCATACTCTGCCCAAAGTTTGGATATGAGTCTCAGCATCTGCTTTGATACCCTGTTGGATAGAGTCCCTCAGAGGCCCTCTGTGGTAGGCTCCTGTCCTGTACCCTGTTTCTCCCACTTCCGATGTCTATCCTGTTTGCCCTTCTTAATGAGGATTAAGCCTCTTACCTAGGGTCCTCATTGTTGTTTAGCTTCTTTAGGACTATAGATTTTAGTATGCTTATCTTATAATATATGGTGAATATAGGCTAGGGTCAGATAGTAGGGGAGAAGGATGTCCCCTATCAGTGGGATATGGGACATATCCTATGGGAGAGGCATGGAGGGAAGAGAGAGGAAGGGTGGTACTGGGAGGAGATGAGAGAGAGGATTACAGCTGGGATACAAAGGGAATAAATTATAATTAATAATAATAATAATAATAATAATAATAATAATAATAAAGAAATTTCTATTCCCACTATGGCTTTATTTTTATACGATGTCATACGATGTGAGTAATGATCCTTAGTGATTACTGAAAAATTTTACAGGAAATGAGACAGTTCCATGAATAAAGCCCAAGTCAGGCACCCAATTTCTAACAGATACTGACAGTGATGTGACGGTTAGAAATCAAGAAAGAAAGACAGATAAACGAAAAAAACAGACAGCTGTACTGTGCTAACTGTACAGTTTGATACACATGAACCTTCCTACAAGATATTGAACTTGCACATGCAATAGATTTTCTTCTTCTAATTCTGGATTCTTCTCCTTTGAATTTCTCAAAGTAAGTATATTAATTCCTTTATTCCTTTAGTAGACTGAGGACAACTTAATCCTGAGGAATTTTAGACATAGGTAAATGGCCACTGTATTCATAGGAAACTGGTTAATAAAAGAAAAAGAGCTAGTAAAAAGGTAGGTTTGGCGACGTTGTTTGACGATCCATGAGAACTTTGAAGAAGGAAACCCCTGGTGAGTCAGTACTCGTGACCAGAGTGACTGCACGGTCTTCCGGTACCTTGGTATGTTGTTGAGTTACAGCAACAGCAAGCATCCTAGGAGTTTCCCCAGTGCCAACTGAAGGCCTGAATTCATACCGCTTTAGTAGGATAGCAGGCCTCAAAGACATTCATGTCTGGTCTTGGAAAGATTTGATTTGATAACCCCTAAAGGTAGTGGAGATGGAAGTAAGACTCCTTCAGGCACTGAGGAATGTATATGTACAATTCCTACTCAGTGTGTTGCTCTCACTCTGTATTGGTTACTTGATGTGGACAAGTGCAGTTTCTGGCTTGGCGGCTCATGGTTAAGCCCTTTGTTCTATCATTATGTTGCAATTTATTAATCTTTCCAAATGGAGGTATGAATTTCTTCCAAACATTCTTGTTCAGAGATAAAGCAAAATGATGCACTTATAATGGCAAGCAGATAGTAAGTATTCATATGAGGCAATTGTCATTATTATGAAAGTAAAACAATATGAAGAAGCTATTGAGCCTACTTAAGTTCATCTTTCTAATGAGTATAAAGCCTGTCCTAGCAGCTAGACAAGCTACTCTTCCTGAAAGTACAAATATTTCCTAAGAAAACTGTATTCCTGCTCTCAACTAAGGTTTTATCCTCAGAACAAAGATAAGGAACCCTGTTAGTCTCAGGAACCCTCATTGTTACCCAGATCTTTCTTCCTCCTAATCCAAGCCTAGCAAGTGTTTCCCTATTGGTTTGAGTCTGATATGTGGCCAGAATAGCCCGTCTCCATCTCCCCATCACTCAGGAAAAGTGATCTTATCCTGAGGGATTGTCATCAAACTCTCTCTCGGATACAAAGCAGGATATAAACACCTGGTCCCAGACACTGGTAATGATGGGAAGAGACACCACCAATTCTGCTGGTCATTCAATGGTAACACTTTGTGTCTTTCTTACTGCTCTCTGTGACCCCAACATTGAACCGGAGGCTTCAATCACTGAACACATTCACTGAGGGCACACCCTGGATCAGAAACTTCTGTTGCAACTGTGTTTTAGACATAGTACTTCCCTCACAGGGCTAACCTGCACTATTATATCAAGTAGTCCAATCAGTTGGAATACACTGAAGAGGGAATTATCTCCATTTTTGAGGTGAGGAAATTGAGACCTGCGTGATAAAGAATTTGCTTTGAGATATCACCTAAAGAATGGCAAAGAGTGTTTGCAAGCACACTTTTCTTCTTTCTACCACACCCCAGGCCTCTGTTCCCTAAATCTTTTAGAGCCACTGAAGAGAGGAAGGCCAGGTGAGAGGAGATATTGTCTAAGTTGAGCCACAGCTTGGGTCATAAGCTCAGCTTCTGTGTATACAAACCTTCTTTTCCGTGAACCTACCCATGGTGGTGCCCTGTGAATAGCCGACATAATAGATCTTTTTCTGTCCTGTTTTCTGTAAGATAAAGTTTATCACAGCAGGAAGGTCAAACCTAGCCATTTCATCATAACTACAAGGGGAAAAGACAAAGTTACACGACAATTATAATACAAACAGAACACGGTCAGAACCACTTCCCTCCCACCCCTAGATCTGCTCACAAGGTTTCCCCTGGTATCAGCTCTGCTAGCTTGTTCCTGCGTTCCTCACAGTCCTCAGGATGGACCCGTGTCAGACCTGTGGTAACTCTGTTGGGCCACATACTGCTGGGAATGTCTGTTTTCTCTGTCATAGACTGATTATTATTGGATAGTTTTGAATACACAAGCTACCTCCTAATTGAGGTGTGTTGTACCCTGCAAGTACAACAGCACAAAACAGGGAAATGCAGATCTCTTTGTAGGACAAAGACTGGAACTAAAGCAGAACTCTTTATTTTCCCCTTCCTGAGTCAGGGTTTCTCTGTGTATCCTTGGCTGTCTTGGACTCACTTTGTAAACCAGGCTGGCCTGGAACTCCCAGAGATCTGCCTGCCTCTGCCTCTGCCTCCCTGAGCAGAACTCTGTTTTTGTTTGTTTGTTTGTTTTTATTTTTTAGAAGAACTCTTATCTGATGAAATAAAGAACAGATTGAGGACCAGTGGTAAGGAAGCACCTTAGGAACTTGGGTAAGCCTATGAGAAACTAGTGAAGTTGATGTCACACAAAGATGAATAAATCCCCATTTAATGACACTTGGTCTCATCTCTTGGGCTGTCAGCCATGTTGTCATAGATGAGGGAGTTAATCCTAAATACTCACTCACATGGAAATGAAACTACACTTCTCAATCTCTCCCACACTGACCTAAAGCACCATAAGATGATTAGGAACACGGGGGGGGGGGGAAATCTCAAGGTGTTGGGACATTGGCAATACAACTAAAAGAGTAACCCAAATACCACAGGTCACAGGTCACACCCAGTTCTTCCAGGCACATCTGTGTCCACCTCCACCCTCGAAGTTCTCTTGTACCTGAAGGCCCAGAACTCATCTTGGTCTATGGAGAGGGTCTTGTGCTTCCGAGACCAGGTGTTTCCTCTGCTGTTCCCCATCCACACGTCGAAGCCGGCATCCGCCAGGATGAAGCCCAGGCTGTTGTTGGGCAGGTTGGAAATCCAGTTGCTAGCATCTCCAAGAAGGCCATGCTGCAGTAACACCACTGGCCTGGACCCTGCAGGCAGGAGGAGATGCCAACTGGTGTGGAATGCATTCTGTTCTTCTTGCTTTCTCTGCATAGAAGGACTTATGTACCAGAGAAATCTATGTGCAAATCTTCCTTTCACCGTTTGCTACTTTATCTTATTCAATTTTTAAAAATGTTTTTGTGTTTTATTTCCTTGCCATCAGAAAACAGAATTTTGTTATGAACATATAAAATAAAGCACAAGGAACAAACGGTACACTTCCTGCTAAAGAAACAAAAAAGCACTAAAATGCAGTTTCCATAATTGGTGGGTTTTTTTTTTTTTGAAGAACTCAGTATTAAACTTTTAGTATATATATATATACATATTCATGTATATATATATGTGTGTCTATATGTATATATGTATATATAGTATATATGTGTGTGTGTGTGTGTGTGTGTGTATAAAACATGGCCTAATGACTAAGGCTCCACAGTCAAAAATGCTCCACACTTCAGGAAAATATGTCTATCATTATCAGCTGGATGTGATGGCACATGCCTGTAACAACAGAACTGCGGAGGCTAATTCAAGAGACTCATGAACTTCGGGTCCACCTGGGTTACACAGCAAGACATCAAAACCCAAATAAATAAGTGCTAGTAACAAATTACAGCTCAATGGGGAGTCACGAGCCCTATAAGGACTTAGCCACCAGGCTAACGAATTGCACAGGAATTGGACTAAAGGCTCTCTGAACATCAGCACTTATGTGGCATGACCAGTTAGCAGCCTGTGAGTGCAGATAGTTGACCCTGAGTGACGCAGCCGTACCCCTGAACACTCAGTTATCAACACAGTCACGTGACTGTGCGAACCAGGCCTTGCCCAAGCCACTAGGGTTTGTGGCACTTAAGGGAAAAGTCTCTTTTCCGAGGAAATTCACTTATATGCACATTTCATTCCTTCATCTCACAGGTAAGTGGCTTAGTACCGAGACTGTTCTCAGCACTGTTAGCTGTTGCGTGTGGCCTTGAAAAAACAGGAAAAGTCCCAGCTTTCATTGACTTTCCACTCTAGTAAAGGAGGAAAAGACAATAAACTATCGAGAAAATATGTCTTTAGGCACTGTATGGGAATGCATGAGGCATGAGGCCAGATGACAGGCTGCATTTTGACTAGGGTGGTCAGGGAAGAAGAGTCTTGGAAAGAAGCAGAGAAAGAAGTGTAAGTTCAAAGGCCCTAGGGCAGAAACGGAGTAGCCACACAGCAGGTACAGCTAGGCAGCTGGTGTTAAACACACTCATTTTCAAAAGGCCACAAAGTACAAATTGGAATAAAAGCAATTCTGAACTTTTTACAACAAAGACCAATAACATTTGCCCTGTGCTGGTTAAGAACATGGGCTGTACTCTGACAAATATGTTGATCTGAGTGCCACATACTAGCAAGCATTAGCATAAACTTTCTGGTCCAGACACACAGCTGTGTGTGACTGAGTTATAGAGAAAATCACATGAAACTAAGGAAATAAAGCATTTGCTCTTATAGCTGGCATACAGAAAAAAAGCCCACAAAGTTATATTTGGACACCCATGACAGACAATGTAGTTGCTGTTGTACACGCAGAGGGGAAATGTGAAGAGCTTAGCACCCAGGGGAAATGGATATGTGCACACTCTGTTGAAGAGGATGAATGTTTAAAAATCAGTGTCACCCTAGAATTTTATATAAAAATGAAGTTAAGCAGAGGACATAAGCACACATTAAAATTTTAAATATGTGCACCTAGAGCCAGGTTCTTAGGCCTTAGCAGAAAATGAGGCGCCACCGTAAATACTTGAGGCGCTCTTCGGATGGAAAACATGTTGCACAGTGTGGAGCATCATGCGCTTTTCTGGAGCTTCCATTCTTCATGCACAGGGCTTGGGACGGCATTTTTCAAGGATCATCAGGGGATGTTCTGGAATATCTTGGTAGGTGTTTGGAAGTGTATTAAGTGCCAGAATGAATGAAAATGGATTTTTCTTGCAGGTTTTGTTTTGTTTGTAGCATTTTTTTCTGTTTTTGTTTGTTTGTTTGTTTGTTTTTGTAGTGATGGTGATTGAACCCAGGCCCCCACAAACGCTTGTAATACATTCCACCCCTGAGTTTCCTCTCCAGATCAAGGGTATTTTTGAAACATATGTGTGAGATAGTTGATGAATATGGCTATGGATGGGATGTAATATGGTGATACAGAGAGCGATTATTCAGGAACTGATACTGTCTTTCAGCCTAATCAAGGGATCTCTGTCCTACAAACCAAAACTTAATCCTACATATTGAGAAAGTCTAGGCTGCAAGAAGACTATCGTATTGGGGTGACACTGAGTAAACCATACCTTCCTTCTTTAATTGCGTCAGTCCTAGAGGGATTCTGTTCACAGAAAGGATGTACCCATCTTCAGTGGCAACTTCATACTCCTCACTGGGATAACCCTTGTGTTTGATGATTTCACTCTGTGGAAAAACAAACAAACAAAACCTCACCGCTTACTGAGAGTTCAGTTCTACACAGCCATACTCCCAACAACTCAAGAGTAAGAGAAGCTTCTTTGGTGTCGCAAGAAGATCCTTATCTTTCTTTAACTGATATTGCTTAAGTCAAACCAGCCAATCCTCCTTAGGCTTCAGTTTGATTAGTTTTTAGGTTTCGCAGTACTGGTGAGCAAACCCAAGGCCTCACACCTTAGGTAAATGCTCTGCCAACAAACTCTATCTCTCTCACTTCTTCTTTATGAATAAACTGAATCACAGTTTTCAGAGGTGTGTGTGTGGGGGGGGGTGTGCAATTCTGTCAGCCTTACCTATGCACTTGCTAGGAAGGCCAAGCACGGCAATAGAGCCTATTTTATCAGAAAATCTGAAGGTAGATCGCAGCAGTCTGTGTTTCAGAGGATCTTCACAGAGTTCTGATGTTTGGAAAACACTGAAGCCAATACAGATGTGCCTCAGAATTGTACAGGACCAATGAACATATAGATTCTTGGGCTCAGATAAGAAATAAGGACACTGTACTAAAATACCTGTTTTGGGGTGACTTGGGGGCATTCCTGGGCACCACAGTCCCTCTGATTATTATTATTATTTTTAGTTTTAGTTTTAAATTCACAGACCAACGAACAGTAATCCCTAAGCTTTTAGACTGAAAAACCTTCACTGGATTTGGGGATAACTATAAAAATGCCATGCATAAACAATTTTTGTATGCAATTTTAAGGGTCGATGGCTCCTTCCTGACTACACTAGACCATTGGGCAAATATCTTCACTGCAGATAACTGCACATGCTGAAACTTTTCCTTTTAAGCACCCTCACAGCTCTTGCCATCTGCTGCCTTCTCATCAGTCAGAAGAGGGGACTATCAGATGCTGCTGCAAAAATGTGTAAGAGAGAAGAAATTACGTGCCAAAGGCCCAACACTGAACACAGAGCCATTAAGAAGAAAGGCCATGATCTCACACCGAGCTCTAACCCAATACACAAATTGGCTGTATGGTATTGAGAACCTTAGCCACTGTTCTTTACTTTATTCCTCTAGTTTACTCTGTATAGGATAAGGCAAAGAATATACATAAAACATTAACTACAGAGCCTGACACCAACACCAGCTACTCCGTAGACATTATATATAATTAAAAGTCAACATGTACAACATTAAAACTCAACTAACCAAATATGTAATGTGTATAGTCTTTCTCTCCCTCTCTTTCTCACTCTGTGTGTGTATATGTCTATACATAGGTGCACTTGTATGCACATAGTACTATTGCATAGTTAAAAGTGTTTTGATCATGCATCAGACCTACGTAGAGGACTTGTCAAGACGCAGATCAATGAACTCCATTCTCAGAGTTTTCTCAGGTCTGGGATGAACCCAAAACACCGATGCTTCTAATAAGCTCCCGAATGTTGCAGAAGCTGCTTGTTCTGAAGCTATCCCTGTAAGATGATGGTTGGGGATAATTTGGAGAGCTAAGATACATACATGAAATGTTAGAGGGCTCCTGAGATAGGCGTAATTTGTTATCGAGAGGTTATGTGTAAATAATGGCTTAAGGATGTGAGGGAAGGGAGAAGGAAAGGAACTCTGAACAGGGAGAGACCCAGGAATAGGACCAGATAAGCTAAATTTTACAGGGGGATGGGGGGCGGGAGAATTTGAACTCATCTAAGACTGAACAGGAACTACCTGGGAGAACCCGGGAGGGAGAGGTTAGAGGTATGGGCTCCTGAGAAAACACTGGATTATATGTTAATGAGACTGGATTATATGTTATTGAGATGGTTAGCAGGCTATATTTGGTAAGAGGGTTTACATGGAATTCTATTAAGACACAAACTTGTCTGCATAAAAATGCAGCTCCAACATATTCTAAAGAGTAAGACCTTTTTGTAACTTTTTTTAAAAAAATGTTTTGAGACAAGGTTTTTTTTTTTTTTTCTGTATAGCCCTGAATGTCCTGAAACCTGCTATATAGACTAGGCTGGCCTTGAAATCTCAGAGATCATTTGCTTTTTTGTTCTGAGTGCTGGGATTAAAATCGTGTACCACCGTGCCTGGATGCATATATATGATATATATGGTTATTTAGTTAGTTAGTTAGTTAATTAGAAAATATTAGAAATCAGGAAATTGTGTATGATGTCCTTAGTCTTCTCTTAGAAAACTTCATAGATTTAGAAGGAAATGACAGGACACAACAAAGCTGTTGGTGGTTACCTCAGTGTATTAATGCATTAATCATTATTGGCCTATGAAGTTTCCTACAAGGGGTATATATCCTGCTCATATAATACAAGGAGTAATGTTTAAAACTATAATTTGAACCATAACCCATTTCATCTTGAATATGGCATGTCCCCAGCTGCTTCAGTTCCTCAACATGCTGACCTCTGCCAGCAACCTCCCTCCTAGCTCCTACTTATTCCTCAAGCTTCAGGCTACACAATATTTTCCTAAATTCCGGATTAGTTTCCCTTGTTTTATGTTTTCCTCCACTTTGTTCTCAGTCTTGTGACCAGTAATTGAGAGTTTGTCATTTGTGCTGGATTGAAAGCTCCGGATTTTCTGAGATATCTTTGCGGCCTCCATGCAGAGCCCAACATCAGGTGCCTGCAGCGGTGGAGTCCCGTTCCTTCCAGAAATCCCGATGGCCTGGAGCTGCTGAGCATGGACAGTGATTGGTCTAGGAAGGAAATCTTTGCCGAAAGGATTCCCTGTACCCTAAAACTACAGGACTTTATGTGGAACAATCAGAACTCCTGAGGATCTGCAACAGTGTACTGGGAGGACAAGCATCAGCTGAAAAAAAGCTTGATGTTTGTGCTCTGTAGAGTGAGAATGGTGTTTCTGCACTCTTTAGACGGAGAGATTATGCCAGATTATGTGATGGGGAGGAAAGCCCGATAGCACTATAGAGATTCAGGAAAAAAAAAATTATTTTTCACAGGCTGTTAGTTTAGAAACCGTGCCAAAAAACAAAGAAACAAACAAACAAACAAAAACATTAGAAGAAAAGAAAGTTTCTCTAAAAAGAGTCTTCAGTTTCCAGAACTGAAGTTTCCTCTTTTGCTGGAGATGCTAGGTGGGTCTGAGGAACATCCAACACAATCACCATGCTCATCTGGAAACTGGCTCACCACCCTGTCACCTGCTGAGGCTCATTGCCCAGCAGTTATAATTACAGGGGTGTGTTTGGGCAGGCCTGAATTGCACTGCAGGTCTACCAGGTAGCAGCAGTAGGGCTCGTTTGACCTGTTCACATGTTTCGTTCCTATCAGTGCCTTGACTTGAAAAGTATAGGTAATCATATCTCCAGAACAGAGCAACGAAAATGAAATTGTACTGTACTACCTTTAGCACAATACCATCTATGGAAATAAATGGGACTGTATGGTGGTCACAAACTAAAACATAACTTGGGGTTCGAAAGAAAACACAGAAATTGTCCAGAGGACTTCCAAAGAGCATATCCTGTACATCTCTCTCTCACACACACATCTCCTCTAGCACAAAGGGACCTCTCATGGCTATTTGACAGAATTAGTATCCAGAGCAGGATAGTAGTAGAAGATGCTAGAAGTATATGTTCTTATAGTAAGAGGCCAGCGGCGATACTTTATCAAAGGGTATAAAGCAAGAAAGAAAACAAAGAATGAAAATCATCAAGGGTCTAAGACAGGCCTCAGTTACCTCCTTGCTTATTAAATGAATATGAAGGTTCAAGGAAAAGTTTAAGAGATTAAGTCATCCACCCAAAATCACCGAATTTGAATGGGAGGCCCCAGATCTACTGACAACCAGTTCAGCTTTCTTCCAGTTCAGTTGGTTATTTTCACCATACTGTTCTAGCATGAGACATATCAACATACAAAAATAACATGGCAGGCAGTCACATCAAGCGGCAAGTGTTAACACGTGACCCTTCATTTCCCCCAGACACAGAAAACCCCAACTCACAATATTCATGAATGCTTCTGGATCCGCAGCCTTGGTTGGCATATGTCCCGAGTTCACATTTCTTTGGAGTAAGTAAGCTAACAGGAGCAGAAGCCATATTTCCACTCTGTGGGAAACAGTCCATGCTCTTGACAAGATTTCAGACATGCTCCAACATCTGCATGGGTGTTGTTCCTAGCGATGTAACAACTACATCTAGAGTCAGAAGAAGGACCTGTAGGTTTAAAGCATCTTTTTGTGTGTTTTCCAGAGGCAAAAAAAAAAAAAAAAAAAATCTGAAGCAGATTAAGCAGGTTTAGGTACAGGAATGAAAGGACATGGTGTAGGCTGCTTAGAATGTCACAGTCCCGCCTGGCTCCTCCTGCTCCTCCCTCGTTCATCTTGTAAACACCAATCCTTCCACTTCTAGGTGTGTCCAACTGGAAGTTTCGTGCATGTTTTATATAGCCCATAAACACCCAGTCACCATCACCATGCAAGGGCCATAAGAAGCATGCCCTGCAATGCTTAGTTCCTGTCTTTCTCCGATAAATCGCGAGTGGAACCTGCGGAATACAATGCAGGTTTCAAGCGTCCCATTCGATGACATCAGTCATCTTTGTCCTGTGGCTGAAGAGCCACTGCAGTGTTACTTACTTTTATTGGAAACACCGAAACTTCTAAGAAAATTTATTTTTTGTTAGTGCCGGATAAAAATAATAATTGTAAGAAAACAATCGAGGTTTAGCCAGTTTCTCTCTGGCTTAACACAGCTACGCCAAGCTTTAAATTTGGTTTGTAGTTCTACTGGTTAATTTGTTGTCAGAGACACCTAGTAATTAAATCAACTGAAGTAACCCGAATAATGAGTGGCAGCCTAGTTATTTTTATGAGCTAAATGTCCTAGTTCAGAAGACCGTGAGGCAAGGTGAGTGGCTCCTTGACCTGCTAGTAACTGAGCATGCCAGGAAGATTGAGTAGTTTAAGACCCTGTTTCAAGATGATAAAAAAAAAAAATACCAAGGCAATTTCTTCATTTTTTTTCATCAATGCTTGGGCTCTAAGAGCAGCCACACCCGCCGGCAGGCTTTGAGAAGGTGGTGGGTGAAGAAGCCAAAGGGAAGGCTGGAAAGGTGAGTCCCTGGGAACGTATCTGCCAGGATGACTCAGCCTTCGCCATCCCTGCTGCCTGGGTGGGTGTGAAGAGGCAAGCCCAAATCTCTATCTGGGACTGGCTGAGCGTTCCTCCACAATATTGTGGATTGCTACATGCAAGAGGAGTGATTTGACCCAGTTAGAAAAAGCGAGAAGGAGGGACTGTCTCCACGAAGCCCCACGAACCCGCGGAGACTGAGCTTGCTCTAGAGTTACGCAAAATGAGATCTGAGAAGAGAACTTCACCTCCCACTGCTGACATTTTAGGATTTTAAAATGCTGTATTGCCCAAATGTGGGTGGGCAGGTGGGGAATAGCTTTTATTTTCATTTCAGAATTAAATGATCACTGCCGCGTTGTCAAGTTGGGTTGTGGCAAAGCCAGAAGTAAAACTTAGAGATTGCTCCTGGGGGGATGCTTTGGTGGTTAAAAGCCCGTGCTGCTCTCGGAGAGAAACTAAGCTTAGTTCTCAGAACCCAGGTCCAGGGTCTACAATCACCTCTAACTCCAGCTCCAGGGGATCTGACATCTTGTGGCCTAAGTGAGCACCCACAGTCATGTGCACGTACCCAATGCTCGCTCATGCACACACACACACACACACACACACACACACACATTATTAAACAGAAAACAATCAGTTTTGAAGAATCAGGTATTCTAGTCCACTGCTTAATATTACAGTCACATGGAAAGTTCTCTCATGTTTTCTTCCTCCCTCAAGGAGGGAGTCATGCTAGGTCATGCTGTGTAATTTGCTTCTCAGTGCTGTAAAGAAATTAAGCCAGGGCTCCATTAATCTTAGTTGTTTCTTCAGATTCTGTATTTAAGATCCAGAATAATTCTCAGTGAACTTACTATATATTTAACATATACAAACTACACATATTTGCTTCAATACATTCAGGTAAGCCAACTCCTACTTTTGATTAATATGTTTCTCAGTTCTGTAGAGACTAAAGATGGCAGTAAACTGATTGAAAATATAACCCAGAACTCCTGATCATGTAGCTCAGTATCCAAGTGGGTACCCTAGTAAGGGGAACAGGGACTATTTCTGACATGAACTCAATGGCTGGTTCTTTGACATCCCCCACCCCACCTGAGGGAGGAGCAGCCCTGCCAGGCCACAGAGGAGGACATTGCAGCCAGTCCTGAAGATATCTGATAAGCTAGGGTCAGATGAAAGGGGAGAAGGTCCTCCCCTATCAGTGGACTTGGAAAGGGGTAGGGAGAAGATGAGGGAGGGAGGGTGGTCATGGGAGGGAATGAGTGAGCAGGATACAGTTGGGATACAGAGTTAACAAAATGTAACTAATAATAAAAAGAAAAAAAATAAAAATTTAATTAAAAAAAGAAAAACAGAACAAAATTCTAATCATCTGGTTTACTTAGTGAATCTACAAAATTTCCTTTAACCACACTCCTTTCTATTTAAGTTCAGTCTAGAGAGCTCTCATGTTAAATTTTAAATTTTATTAAAGTGATTCAGCTATTATAAACTATTTGGGGCTTTGATGTAGAAACAGTTTTGATTGACACACGGTCAAAGTTCTTGAATCACCTGAAAAAGAATGACTTTAGGATCAAATGACTAAGATGTTTGATATCCAACTCCTTCTAGCATGGGTTACTTCCTAGGCAACTCTGTGGCATTCAGGCAAATGGGCATGGCTTACCTCTCTTCTGCTCTGTCAGACATGCCCACACACGCATGGGTCTCATGGAGCGTCTATCCTCCTCTCAGCCAACCAGCATGCCATGGTTCTTCATAGACTTTGTTCTAGTGATGAAGTATCCCACTCCACACTCCAGGAAGCAGGCAGCTTTATCTCTGCCTCCTAGCACTGGTCTTGGAGCCACTTTAGTACCTAGCCTCTTAGTTCAATTCTTCCCTCTCAGCAGCTAGCTTTTAAAAACACTATTATTTAAAGACTGTTCAGTATACAATAATTAAGACAGGTTGTGAAGTCATGTAACAACTGTCACTGTTTACCACACGCTTGACTCTGGGTCCTGTTCCCACAGTCCCTGAGCCTCAGTGTCCTCATTCGCAAATTGCGATGGCAGATAGCAGATAGCAGAACCTGACAAAATGATCACTCAGTAGTTTTGCTCCACGCAGGCTTTAAGGCTTGTGTTGCCCGGAAGTTCCCACTCTGTCTTTTCCAGTGGTTCTAAGATAAAGCAGTATTTCTTCACCAACTTGGGATACTAGGACATCTCTGATGGGGACAACAACAATCACATTTTCCTCCTACACAGATTAAATTGTGATTTCTGGCTCCCTCCTTTCCTAGGCCAGTGATCTTGATCAGACCACTTCATTAACCACCCACAGCCAAAGGAAGACCATCTGACAGTAAAAGGCGCTGTGGAGACTAGTGTGAACATCTAAGCCAGGAGCCCAACATCTAGAGGGCTTTACAGATTTCCTGGCCCTTCTCCTTCACGGTCTTTTTTTTTTTTTTTTTTTTCTGGTGTTGTTACTTTTGAAGCACGACCTCATGTGGTCTTAAAAAAATTAGTAGTAATTTTCTTTTCTCAACTTCCCCAGAAACTGGAATTACAGCTTGTCCTCCTCCCCTGCTTAGAAGAGTCAAGTTCTTCCTTCCTTCCTTCCTTCCTTCCTTCCTTCCTTCCTTCCTTCCTTCCTTCCTTCCTTCCTATATATTTAACATATACAAACTACACATATTTGCTTCAATACATTCAGGTAAGCCAACTCCTACTTTTGATTAATATGTTTCTCAGTTCTGTAGAGACTAAAGATGGCAGTAAACTGATTGAAAATATAACCCAGAACTCCTGATCATGTAGCTCAGTATCCAAGTGGGTACCCTAGTAAGGGGAACAGGGACTATTTCTGACATGAACTCAATGGTTTGTATATGTTAAATATATAGGAAGGAAGGAAGGAAGGAAGGAAGGAAGGAAGAACTTGACTCTTCTAAGCAGAAGGAACTAGTCTAAAGATATCATCAACCCCTTTTCTCAAAAGAAACTGTGGTAGCGACCTAAACATGGTAACTCACCTTTTCAAGTTTATTTGTAAACTAGACTTAAGCCGTAGTGTTTTAGAACTAAAATCACAGGTTTTTAGAAGTCATTTGCTTCAGCATCCTGCCTTTATTTCTCTATTTAAAACATATAATATAAAGATTTGCAATTTAGTAAAAGTTATAGAATACATATTTGTGTAAAACTTTGATCACCATGACGTGCATAGATTGAGATACACATTCTATTCATTCTCTGAAATTAATTTTCCCAAGCAATGCGATGTACATTTTCAAGGCATTTTATATATAGTGTGTGAGAATATTGTCCTAGGACAGATTCACAGATGTAGAACACTGGGCAAAAAGTATGCATAGTCTATATTTTGAGAGATCCTCTTAAATTGTTCCCTAAAAGATGGTGGAAGAAACATAATGACCGCACCCTTCCTTTCAGTAGTTCAACATTTCAAAAATTTCTTTAATTTTGCTAATCTCATAGGGTCAAGGTGATACCTCATAGTGATTTTGCTTTTATTTTCATGAATTACAGTCAGCCTATGATGTTTTAATATATTCCAACTACTGAGTTTTCCTTTGTGGATCACCTTTTGAGTTTCCAGCCTGTTTCATCTTACAGTTTCAAAGAATGATCAAAACTGAACATCTTCATCATTGATATTGAGCTTCACTTTGTTACAAGCGAATTACTACATTTGTCTTTTCTTTTCAAACTTTGGCTTGTGATGTGTAGTTATTTCATAAGTGTTTCATTATAAATGTTTCATAGTTAAGTGATTTGAAGTTTTTCCTTCTAGGCTCTCTGCTTCACTCACATTTGTAGAAGGAGTTTTGAAGTTTTTGGTTTAAAAACAAAGAAATATTATAATAGTGTGTTTTTATTTTAACTCCAGGTATGGGGATATGAGGCTGCTTTTCAGCAGCTGACTATAATTTGCCTTGCGCTCTGGTGGGTGTGTGATTTTGTCAGCTGCAGATAGTTTCTGCTGATGT